TCTTCAAAGGACTACATTCAAAGGTAGTTCCATTTTTCTGGAAAGGGGGGTATATTTTTGACCCTACAAGGATCTCCCTTTAGTATTTCAGTTTGTCCCTTCATATAGTCTGTAGGTTCTACTTGCTGTGCCAGGTTCTGTGGTGGATACTTTCACAGAGATTTCCAGACCTGGCTGCCATCAAAATCACCTGGGAACTTTTAAGAGAACAGAGGCTTGGGCCACATCTTAGAAATGTAGATTCTGGCTATGCTGGAGCTATATTACGAGGTAAGAACTGTTACAATCACCATTTTTTAAAGTGTGTCAACAGTCAGGTTAATTAGGATACATAACAGTAAATAATGCCAGGCCAGGACTTGCACCCAGGTCTATGACTGTGAACCTCATGTGCTGTACTGTAGGTGAACTCTGGTATCCTGTGCAAAAGCTGTAAGCTATCACTGTCTTAAAACAATGGACAGTGAAAATGGGACACATATAATCTTCTTTAGTGAGATAAAGTTGTCTAAAATGTTGTTTAGCCTTATCATCCCATTGACAGTCATGAATTCTTTATATGAAAAGTATTATGAGAGTTCAGTAGTTGTGCACACCTAAAATCCCAGCACTCAGGAGGCAGTTCAAGGACAGCCTGGGCTACATAACAAGATACTGTCTCAGATGAAAGAAAGAAAGAGGGAGAGGGAAGGGGAGAGAGGGAGAAAAAGAAGGAAAGGAAAGGGAGGGAGGGAGGAAGGGAGAAAGAAAGGGTATCATAAGTAGCTACCATTTCCAGATAAGCAGCTATGCATTTTCCTAAATAACCTCTTCTTTACACCTGGTTTTCACAGCTCATTCTTTAAAACAAAAATAGTATTTGGTTATAAAGTATTTGAGAAGTTTTATTTCTTTGATCTTTTTGGTTTGGTAGTTTTTGTTTTTGTTTTTTGTTTTTTGTAGTACTGGCAGGGAAACACAGGGCCTTGAGCTTTCTAGATAGGTGCTCTACCACTTGAGCCATTCCACCAGCCCCAAGAACTTTTTAAACTCCATTTTGCCAAGACTGGTGATATGTACTTGTAATCCTGGCTTCTTGGGAGGCTGAGGCAAGAGGATCACTTGAGCCCAGGAGTTCAGTGCCAGCCAGAGCAACATGGTTAAAACACTCTCAAAAACAAAGCAGCCCCCCAAAATTCTACTTCCTTCTCTGACAGATTTATAGTTGGCATCATTTTCTGGGTCATTTAAGGAAAATGACTCTTTTTGGAAGCAATTGACCCAAATGCACTTGAATTCAGTTTGGAAACACTTCCAAACTTAGATTTTAAAAAATTCCTACATGTATGGTATGTCTTCTAATCACCTTAAAATTGTACTAAGAAATCTGTATAAGTTACTTACTCTATATTCCAATTATATAAGACTTAGTAAAAAGTTTTTCAGGCAGAATAAAGTTTAGGAATTGAGATCCAACAAACTGGCTTCTTTACAGGCACCCTCAACATTGTTTCTTGTTAATTATCTATATCTTGTTAATTGTATCTAATGTTACAAGATTCCCCTAGTCTTTCCCCTTTTAGATTTGTTTTCTGGGATTTTAAACTCACCTTTACATTCCCAAATCATTTTCAGTGATTTTTGATATCACTGATTCATCTCCTTTCCTCAGCTGTGCCTTCCCTAATTCAATGTGTCTGGTTAGATTGAATCTATTATTTGAGTCTTGTGTCCCATCCCTCCTTCCACACTAATAGTGTGGAAAGACTCTGAAACATTAGAGAAACTAGTGGCATCCCTTCTGCTCTGGCAGTGTGGTGTACAGTCCTGGGCCCTCACCTCTGTGGGGAAGCATTTTGGAATTGGAGAGCACTTTCTCAGGGGATGAAGCATTCCCCAAAAAAGTTCCCTTGTATTGGATCTTGGACCACTTATTTCCATCATCCCCAAAGTGTTACTTGGTTTAGCCACAGATTTTTATAGCATTGTGCATAAGAAACTATGATAAACCAGAATGGATTTCTTTTGTTTTTATTTTTGCAGTGCTGGGGATTAAACTCAGGACCTGGTACATGCTAGGCAAGTGCTCTATCACTTGAGCCATGCTCCAGCCCCTTTGGGTTTTTGTTTGTTTTTTGAGCTATGGTCTTATTACCTTTGTCCAGGCCTGTTCCTACTGAGTAGCTGGGATTACAGATATGCCATCATGCCCAGCTGCCAGAGTATGGATTTCCATACAGCCTTTAAATGGAATTAGGTAGTTCTATATATAGAAAGTTGTGGTATTAAGTTTAAAAAAGCAAATCACAGAATAGCATTTATATCATCATCAGAGTTATGAAAAAACTAATTTGTAAGTGCATAATAAGTGTGGAAGCAGATACCAATACATTTTTAAATTGAATGGGTTTAGCTAGAGGGACTTTCACTTTCTCTAGACTTATGCAGCATTTAGGTTTTAAAACTGAATGGAATTTTTAAATAAAATTAGTAAAGACTTTGTTACATGTGGGCCCAGTGCAGTGGCTCACATCCATAATCCCAGCTACTCAGGAAGCAGAGATGTGGAAGGATTGTGGTTTGTGGTTTGCCCTGGCAAAATGTTAGTGAGACCCCATCTCAACCAAAAAGCTGAGTGTGCATGGCTGTAGTCCCAGCTACCTGGAGGATCATGGTCTGATGCCAACCCAGGCACAAAAACTTGAGACCCTATCTGAAAAATAACTGAAGCAAAAAACACTGGGAGTATGGCTCAAGTGGTAGAGTACCCATCCAGCAAGTGAGAGGCACTGAGTTCAAATTCTAGTATTGGGTGGCGGGGGAGGGGGGAGTGTTAAAATGTAACACTTTAAAATTTCAAGGAGGTGCTTCAGTGACATAATTACCAATACTACTAGTAGGCCTGTCAGAAAACCTTTCATCTGAATCAGTCCAACAGTGTCTTATCTTTGTAATATCTGAGAAGAGCCATAGCATCTTGTTTTGTTGTTGTTTTGTTTGATACAGGATCTTGCTATGTAGCCCACGCTGGCCTGGAACTCCCCATCCTCTTGCCTCAAGGGTGTGCCACCAGAACTTGGGTTCTTAAATGTCTCCTTTTTTGGTCCTTTTCAGAAACTAGCATAACTTATAAGATCAATAGAATTTTATGGAAATAACTCTTTTTAAAGAGTTATTTTTGGTTTCTTTTTTGGGAGGGGTTAGGAGGAAGTGCAGTTTGAAGTCAGAGCTTTACACTTACAAAGCAGGCACTGTACTGCTTGAGCCATACTTCCAGTCCATTTTGCTCTGATTATTACGGAGATGGAGTCTCACAAACTATTTGTCCAAGTGTCCTCCTCTATCTTCCCATTCTCAGCCTCCCAAGTAGCTAGAATTACAGTGACGAGCCACCAGCGCCTGGCTCTTCTGTCTAAGGATTGGATTCTCTTGGTTACCCACTCTCTGGAGGGAATCATACCCTGGTCCCTGCAGTAATAGGAATGTCATTTACTTCCACTCTTTGCTGGTGTAGAATGTGTTCTCTGTTGAAAAGCTATTTCCAGCTGAGTCCTTGCATCATGTTCCTACCTATATACTTTAGTCACATTCTTATAAGTGCAGCCTCTAAATTTTAAAGACAGCCTTGCTGGTTTTGGGGAACCAAGGACATTTGTGACATTAGTTGGCTCAGCCTCTGCTGCCTTGGTACTTTGGGAGCAGATAATGTGAGTCTGTTTCCTCTCCTCTCCTTTGTTTTTTTTTCTGGTCCCATCTCCTCCCATTGCTTTCCCTTCCCTCTGCCCTCTCTATGCAATATAATTGTATATTTATACTTAGATGTGTGAAGACTTTCCTATTTCCATTATTTTTCTGTTCTCTCCTGTGAGCAGTAAACTTGGAAAATGCTGAAAAGAATTTGCTGTGAATCCATCCAGAATAATGGAAGTAATCTTTCTCTATTAATCTTACCCACAGTTTCATTTGTGTCTAATCCTGATCCAATGCTCAGGACATGAGGAATTAATTGTAAATAACTAAATGTTGAGTGTAAACTACACACTAGTATTGTCTATTTTTTATGTGTCCTAGTCTCTAGCATGTTTTTTACTTTTTGCTACCAGCCCTGTGGCTCCTGCTTCCAAATCTTTACTTCTTCTAGACCCTAACCAGATGTTCTCAGTGAAGAACTAGTTCTATCATTTAGTTTTGTGATGGTAAACACACTGTGTGGAATGAGAATAGTTGTGAATTCCTGGAGGGCAGGGACTGTGCCTTCCTTGTCTTTATTCTCCTAGTCCTAGCTGGTGCCTGGCACAAGGTGCTTAGTATTTTCAGACAAAGATAATGGTTGCCTCTTATTCTTAACTTTGTAGCAGGCATGTTGTGCAACAAACTGATCATTGTGAGAAAGTAACTTTGTAATATAAATTCTCATTTCCCAGAGTCTTGTTACATAACAGAAAAACTTTTTAACTACTTATATGATTTCTGTAATTCTTCAGTGAGCTTCCTCTGAGAAACCAGTGGTTTGTCATTTGAGAGGAATATTCTCTTTTTATTCTTTTTGTTATCAAATGGGTGCTGTCACATTCCTATCAGAACTTTTTCAACAATAGACATCTGTAATTACATATTTTATTTGGAATATTTAATTGTCCCATTGTTTAAATGAAGAAAGGAGATGATTCACTTTTTATCACAAAAGGAGCCCTTGAAAAAAAGCTTCACACATTCTTCTAAATATTTCTGTATTGATAGGAAGAATTACACCTATGGTTTTTAAGCATTGATTGAAATTTCTGTGGTTTACAAGGATATAGTTTGGCAATAAACTTCATAATATAGAGATGAAAAGGAATTATTGGTTGTTAATTCTGTTATCCAAAAATAGTTCTTTGTGTTGGACATCTATAAAAATAGCCAAAGATGATTCTTAGTTGTAATCTGAATGTCTATAAACCAAACTAGGAAAGCTTGAGTAATTCAGTGGCCAAGAATCTTCTATTCATTTTTCTTTTCTTTTCTTCTTTTTCTTATAGAACTCCCAGCAGATGACCAGCATTTCTCATAGCTGATAATGTTGAAGATCAGCCCTGCAACTTTGTTTGGCATTCTTTTATTAAAAACAAAGAGAATGCAAGCTCCTCAACTCCAGATTATGAAAACGTTACTCGGAAAACTGAAAACTATCTAAATGATTGTCTTTGGTTGGGCCGTGTTCTTAGCAAGCAGAAGCCTTGGCCAGGGTCTGCTGTTGACTCTTGAGGAGCACTTAGCCCACCTACTGGGGACTAGAGGTGCCACTTCTACCATGGGTAATTCCTGTATCTGTCGAGATGACAGTGGGGCAGAAGACAGTGTTGACACCAACCAGCAGCAGGCTGAGAACAGTGCAGTCCCCACTGCTGACTTGAGGAGCCAACCCCGGGACCCTGTTCGGCCTCCAAGGAGGGGCCGAGGACCACATGAGCCAAGGAGAAAGAAACAAAATGTGGATGGGCTAGTGCTGGACACACTGGCAGTAATACGGACTCTTGTAGATAAGTAAGTACCTGACTCCCTGTCACCTCCAGTGGTAGGGAAAGGGTTCTGCCAGGAACCTCAACTTCTGGACTCCTTCAGTTCATTTAGGTATATTCAACAAGCCTTGTGCTCATAGGCCAAGGGAAAGTATTTCTCCTCTGATGGCAGAGTAAATGATAAGATTTGATGTTTTTGCTTGCTGTTATCCACTCCTGTCTGGAATTGTCTAAACATTTTGGTAGCAGAAAACAGTAATTAAAGCTATGATCTTTATAGGGAATATAGGGAGTGAGTTTTTGTTGCTAGCTACGTTGGAATGGTTTCATGAAGATTGTTAGTGTGCTTGCCCAGCTAGTCCACTGACAGAGTCAGCATGAGTTGTTTTACAAAGAGCATGGCTGCATTACAGCTTCTGTGGGCAATTAAGGACAAAGGTCAAGGAGTGTTTCTCGCCCCCTCCTGTTTTAGGTGAATGCTTTGCCACTTGAGCCACTCCGCCAGCTCCCCCTCCTGTTTTAGTAGTTATTATTTGGCCTCTTAGACCCATTGGGGGAGTTTGTAAGTTGAAACTGTAGTGCACACCTGAACCTCTAAGAACAAAATCCCAGACTGGGAAATAGTGGAATTAAAGGCATTATTCAAGTTGAAAAAACATATTACTGTAAGGTTGTTTAGTAAGTAAGGGCATAAATTTTAGGACCATGGTGGACCTGGGTTCGGATTTGGCCCAACCACTTACTACCTGCATGACACTGGGCAAGATACTTCTCTAAGCCTCTAATCCCTCATCTGTAAATGAGAAGAATGCTTTTCCTTCAAGAATTGTCATGAGATAATGATATAAGACATCTAGTGTAGTGGTGGTGGTGGTGGTGGTAGTAGTGATTTTCCTTTTTTACGTTGGAACTGGGACTTGAACTTGGAGCCTTATGTTTGTTAGGCACTTGAGCCATACCCCCAGCCCTTTTTTGGTTTTGTTACTTTCAGATAGGGTCTCTTATTTTTGCCTCAGACCATGACCCATCTACTTATGCCTACTGCCTTGCTGGGATTACGAGTACATACTTTATGCTGGTTTATTGGTTGAGATGGGTTCTAGCCAGGAACCTGGATCCTCCTGCTGTCCGCCTCGCAAGTAGCTGGGATTACATGTGCGAGCACCATGCCCAGCAATGGTGGTAATGTTTAAAAAGTTATTTCTGGGTTTTTTATTAATTACATTAATAAATGCCCAAATTTGTTTAGTTCCTCAAAAATTATAACATAAAATAGTGCATGTACAAATTCTTAGAACCCACAAAATACTGGATTAGTTATTGTTCCTCAAGAATAATATTTCTAGCTGGTGGAGTGGTTCACGTGGTAGAATGCCTGCCTAACAAGCATGATGCTCCGAGTTGAAGTCCCAGTGCTGCCAAAAAATAATAATATTTCTAGAAAAAATGATTCCTTATATTGTAAAATTGTAATGAAAAGTTATCCTTCCCAAACAAGGAAGTAAACCACAAGCAATGTTAATTTAAGCCCATTGGACAAACAGGTGCAGAATAGACTTTGATGTGTTTTAAGAAGCAGTGATTATTGGAGCAAGGCAGTATCCTTATTTTCAAGTTCCAAGAAGGTATTGCAAGTATAGGTGACCTTGCTGATAGAGAACATAACTCATTTACACGAGGTTAGGGTGTTTATTTGACTAATTGGGTAACTTTTACCTAAAGCTGATTTTATTCTTGAATGGTAGGTATCACTCCTTTGAGAATGGAAAAATTACGCAGATACCAAGCAAAGAGAAAGGGGACATGCTGGAGAAGATCATGGCAAACAGAATTCAGACAGCATATGAACACAGATATGTAGCTTGTTTTTCAGAGGTTATTAAAGGAGAAGAATTTTATAAGCTATATAGTTTATAGTGAAGCCAGTACCAGTGGCTCATGTCTGTAATACTAGTGACTTAGGAAGCTGAGATCAGGAGGATCCAGGTTCATGGCCAGCCCAGGCGAATAGTTCATGAGCCCCATCTCCAAAACAATCACAGCAAAATGGGCTGGAGATGTGGCTCAAGCAGTAGAGCACCTGCCTTGCAAGCACAAAGCCCTGAGTTCAAACCCCAGTCCTACAAAAAAAAAAAAAAAAGTTACAGAGGTGTTAAAATGTGAGAGATAGACAATAGGCTTAGTAAGAGCATATCTAAATTATGTTATGCATACAGATATCGAAACTAAGAAACCATCTGTATTTATTACCCTCTACTGTTTACTTAGGAAAGGGTGACTCTGACATTGATATGAGAGGAAAGCACCGTTCCTAATGCCATAATGAGAGTTGCTATAGAAAAGAGTTTCATGGTCGTGATTTTGTTGTTGTTATTGGGTTTTCTTGGCTGTATTGGGCTTAAACTCAGGCCTTTGAACTTGCAAAGCAGGTGCTGTACCACTTGAGCCACTCTTCCAGTTCAAGTTTCATGGTGTTCATTTCTACTTTTCCATGACTGTTTTGAAATAAATTGCTTATATGCAGTATTCCTCTATTCTCAGCTTTTCTGGTTCATTTTTAATTTTTTGTTGTTGTGGTTATCTATTTTAATCCTGTGTACTTCTTTTTTTTTTTGGTTTGTTTTTTGAGACAGGATCTTGCTGTATAGCCCAATCCAGCCTATATAGTCTGTGATCATCCTGCCTCAACCTCCATGTGCTGGGATTATAGACATGTACCACCACACCTGGCTTAATACTATGAACTTTAAATCTAAAGTCATTTTCTTTACTTCTGGAAATTTCTCAACCATTATCTCTTCGAGTGTTGCTTCTGGCATTCTGAGTAGATTGATTAATACTCTCTTCTAATTAATTAATTTTTCTCTGTACAGCAAATCTGAACTTGAATCATCTATTAAGATTTTTATTTCAGTAACTATGTTTCATTTCTAGAATCTCTAATTTTTTTCTTTCTCTTTTAATTTGTGTCTGCTTTTTTAAAATTTTCTTATTTTAGGGCTCATGGAGTGGCCCAAGTGGTAGAGTGCCTGCCTGTATGAGGCCTGGAGTTCAAACCCCAGTACCGCCAAAAAATATTTTTTCCTATCCTTTTATAGTTGTTGGTCCTTTAAATCTAAAAATGGTTGGTTATTTTAAGTCGTTTTAAAGTTCTATTATTTGCACATTTTTGATAGTGACTCAGATTGCTAATAATTCTAATGTTATTCATGTGTTTGGCTTTGGAATTTTATTTGCAAACTTTTTTTTTTTTTTTTTGAGACACGGTCTCCCTGAACTCCTCTGATCCTGATCCTAATCCTTCTGTCTCTGCCTCTTGAGTATGGGGATTATTGGCATGTAGCACCATGCCTGACTACAGATTCCATCCCTACCCCTACCTCAGTGGTAGTGGGATTGAACTCAGGGTCTCATGCTTTCTAGGCAGGGGCTGCACCATTTAAGTCCCAGCCTTTTTTTTTTTGTTTCTTTCTTTCTTTAGTTAATTTGGGAATAGGTTCTTGAATTTTTTGCCCCGGGTGTAGCCTGGACTGCAATCCTCCTACCTGTACCTCCCAAGTAGCTGGGAATATACAAGTGTACCACCACACCCAGTTTGTTTTGTTGAGAGGGGGGGAGCGTCTCACTAACTTTTTGCCTGGACTGGCCTTAAATCTCCATCCTCCCTATCTCAGCCTCTTGAGTAGCTGAGATTTCAGATGTGCACCACCATGTCTAGCTCCCCTACAGACTACTTTGGATGGAAGTGTTTTTCTCACTTGTATGTATGTCTATAGGCTGTGCATACTTAAGAGAGCTGGTGCATTCTCCTCTACCATACTGCTGAGTAAGCTTATAAATGAAATTGTTGGTTCTGAGTTCCCAACCTACTGTAAAAAGCCCAGGTCCAGATCCATGGTTTTCTTTGCTTTTTTCTGTCACTAGAGATTTGTACTTTATACCACTGGTAGCTCAGATTATCACTGATAATTTTTTTTCAGCCCTGCCCTCACTTCACTTTGTGCATCTGTCCCATAGATGGCTTTTTTGTTTGTTTGTTTTCTTTTTTTCCATTACTCTGCAGACTTAGAGCTCTCAGTCACCTTTGTCCAGTTCTTGACCTACAGCCTAGTAATCCTCTGGTTTAGTTTCTGTCTCACCAGAAATTTCTGCTCCATTTCTGTTCCACAGGGTGTTTATCTTGTACTTTAATGGAGGGATGTGGGTGTGCATTAAGTACCTCTGTGGAACTGAAGAGCTCCTGCTCCTTATTGGTTGCTGACTCCTTTTTGTAGTTTGTAATTTTTCCCCTCTTCCTTGATCTTATTCTTGTCTCCACAACCCACCTCCACATAACAGTAGGTAGCCATTCTAGTGAATTTAAGAGACTGTTCTAGTTTTAGTTTTACAACCATATGTTTATTTATGTGCATATGAAAAGGAAATTCATTTTTGTTCTATTTTTTTTTATTGTTTTATTATTCACATGTGCATACAAGGCTTGGGTCATTTCTCCCCCATGACCCCACCCCTTCCCATACCCCTCCACCCCCTCAATACCCATCAGAAACTAAAATTCATAAAGAATTTTGTGTATTGTTTTTGTTTTGTTTTTTGAGGTACTGGAGATTGAACTCCGGGACTATACCTTGAGCCACTTCACTAGCTCTTTTTTGTGATGGGCTTTTTTGAGATAGGGTGTCATGAACTGTTTGCACAGGCTGGCTCCTGATCTCTGCCTCCTGAGTAGCTAGGTGTGCACCACCTGCACCTGGCTTGTGTGTGTTTTTAAAATTTTGCATACCAATTAATTATATAAACTTCTTCTTCTTTTTTGGTGGGGTTTGAATTCAGAGCTTCACACTTGCTTGGTAGGCACTCTACCACTTCAGCCACTCCACCAACCCATAAACCTCTTGTTTTCAGCTGCACACCTATAATCCCAGCACTTGGGAGGTTGAAGCATGAGGATCATGAGCTCCAGGCAAGCCTGGACTGCATAGCAATAACCTCTTTCAAAAAACCAAAAAATCTCATTTCCGTATATAAAAACCTTTAATTCTATATATAAACATACAACTCCTGACTGCTACTGTGTATTCCTTTGGATGCTTGCAAGTACTAACTACATTGTGTTATTTTTATCTGGTGGTAGTCACTTAGATTACTGCTAAATTTTTGTTCCTACAAATAACCCTGTGGTAAACAGCACATACATGCATCAATTTGTGGACCTATGTAAAAGTTTCTCTGAATATATGCATACTTAATTTTATTATTGCTAAATTGTTCCCTGGAAATGTTTGCAACAGTTAGTTATATGTTTCCTTAAAAAAAATTTTTTTTGAGACAGTCTTACTTTGTAGTCTAGGCTGGCCTTGAACTAACTATGTAGTCCAGGCTGGCCTCAAACTTTCGATTCTCCTGCCTCAGCCTCCTGAGTGCTGGGATTACAGGCATGAACCATCAAGCCTAGCCTAAAAGTTCTTTTTAAATAATAATATCCCCTTATTATGAAAGGACACAGGTTATTCCAAATAACCAGCACCTAATGTGAGGTAAATATAGTAATTTCCATATCACAAGGTTATTCTGAAAATCAAATGATTTAAGACAATAGTTTTTACACAGTAGAAAACAGAGATCCAAAATACATGAATAAATGGTGAGTCCTTAAGCCATTAGGATTATCATTGTTGCCACTAATGGCTCACACCTTCGATCCTAGCTCCTTGGGAGGCTGAGATTGGGAGGATCGTGGTTCAAGGCCAGCCCAAGCAAATAGTTCGAGAAACAACCCTCCCCCCTCCATATCTCCAAAATAACCAGAACAAAGTACACTAAAGGCATGGCTCAAGTGGTAGAGCCTCCTATGTAAGTGTAAAGCCCTCAGTGGAAGATATTTCAGTAATGAAGTTCTTCTGAAGCACCTCCTTAGGATTTCTGGGATTGCAGTGTGAAAACCCTGGCATTAAGGTATATGATACATTGTAGAGCAGTGTCTAGAATATTAAATAGTTCCTTGATTACGTTTGGCTTCTTTTTCTACTAATACCATTTTAGGAAGTTTAAGCATGTAGTGATAGCTTACATCACTTGACAGAAGAAGACTGTCAAGTGAAGATTTTTCTGTAGGCCCTTGCTTCCATAAATCCTCAGTTAGAATTTCTCCTTTCCTGGCATTTCTTTGAGGTAAGTGTGAGGAAGATGCTGTTTGGCCTTTCTGGCTTATCTCAGTTGGCATTGAGCCTTTAGAGGTAAAGCTGAAAGCAGATTTTGGTCTCCAGCTTTAGACATTTGCTTTTACCTCAGGTCATACAGTAGCATTCATATGTGTCCCACCCCCATATTTTGGGCCATCATGAACAGTGTCCATGGAAATGAGCACAGATGGTATACATTTGTCCTTATGGGTTCTAGCTCTGGTTGTCTCTTCCATCTCTTCCCTGCATTCATTCATGTTCATTTCCTCTTTCTCTACCTATAACCCCACAATTCCAGTTTGAAATTTTATTGAAATTATCATTTATTATTTCCTCAAGTTTAATTCCTTGAATGTTTGTTTTTCAGTGATCAGGAACCTCCCTATTCGATGATTACATTACATGAAATGGCAGAAACAGGTATTTTTAAAGTTTTGCTTTTAATACTTCCTAACAAATTAATAACAGTGAAGCACTGTGGCCACTTTTTTTTTTTTTAAGATAAAAGATTCCAGAAATGCTCACACATAACAAAGGAAAAAGCCTTTGGTGTATGGAAATTTTCCAGTAAAAATGTGTTGGATTCTGAATTTTTAGATGCGTATCTCAATGATGGTTTTATCTCATTTGAAATTATGAAAGATATTTAATCATAATTGTGCTATAATGGGAGGATAATTTTTGTCCCTCATTTTCTTAAACGTCATTCTAAAAATATGGCCAACTACAACTACTAAGTACACTTGGCTTTATCAGTTAAGTCCTATATAGTAAATAAGATGTTTAAAACTGTTTTAATGACTGAACACCAAGTTTTCCTTTTCTTTTTTTTTATTGTTTTATTATTCATATGTGCATACATGGCTTGGGTCATTTCTCCCCCCTGCCCCCAACACCAAGTTTTCTCCAAATAAAAATGCCCCCAGATCTCTAGACAACTGTAACAGGATTTTTTTGACTCCACCATAATAATTAGCAATTGATGATTATGTCCGTGCTAAATATTGGTTTCTTAAAAGCTACAGGATGAAACACAAATTGTTTCTGTGTTAATGTGAAGTCTCTTATGTGACTTTAATGTATTTTCACTTTTTCAAAATAGCAACTCCATTATATTATCTTCTTGATTTGCCCTTAGATGAAGGATGGTTGGACGTTGTCCAGTCTTTAATTAGAGTTATTCCATTGGAGGATCCATTGGGACCAGCTGTTATAACATTGTTACTAGATGAATGTCCATTGCCCACTAAAGTAAGTTAATTCTAATCTTTTTATGAAACATCTGTGCAGAGGATGAATAACCACAAAAAACATTTGATATAATAATGCATTTCCTCTTTATACATTTCAAGTATTTATTCAGTATTGATTTCATTATGTAAAATTTTTTACCTACTAATGAAGTGCTAGCATGCTATAATGTTTCAATATTTTTAAAATGTTAAAAGTAGAAGCATTTATATCTGCACTGACGATCTTTGTTAGGAAACTAGAAGAAAATGTTTGACTACCAACTAATTTTTCTTATCTTTCTCTGAGCAACTTCTTCATAACAAGGGTTTTCTGTTAAGAGAGACACTATTACACTGAAAGCTCTTTTGAGTCTTATTCAAACATTAGAGATTTGTATAACCTTGATTATGCCTTACTTAGAACAAAAATATAAAACTTTTGTTATATCAGTCTATATGTTCTACAGATACTTTTTTTTTGGGGGGGATTCTGGTATCTTTTATTTGTGTGCTTAAACCTCAGACATGGGCCCTGTACCAGAAAACATTGTGGACAAAAGGGAAAAGTCTAATCTTTGATGGGTTGATCTTCTAGATCAACCTTAGATAGAACCTCTTATAAGAGGTTTACATTTTAATATGCCTCAGAAACTTTAGTGGGATTTATTCCTGCTTGGTAAAACTTTTTTTAAAAAGTAACTTTTTACTTCAACATCACTAGATCCTAATGTTATTAATCATATTAACACTTGAGTAGGTTTAATCTATTTAATGATTCAAGAGTATATAGTATATATATTTGATACAACTAGTATATTTGGAATGAAATGGAATCTGGCAATTCATGTGAGAAAATTCAAGTTGATCAAATATTTCCCATCAATAATGATATCACTGGGGACATTATGTAATTTTTGTATGGGCATTCTGAGTTTATTTAATACCTGGCTACAACTTTGTCTCAAAGAATTCTCTTGGGAAAACAACCTGAGGCGTATATATGTGTATATCAAATCCACTTGTACATTTTTGTTTTTAGGATGCACTCCAGAAATTGACTGAAATTCTCAATTTAAATGGAGAAGTAGCTTGTCAGGACTCAGGCCATCCTGCCAAACACAGGAACACATCTGCTGTCCTAGGATGCTTGGCTGAGAAATTAGCAGGTAACTCTAGGAAATGCCATAGAGTAAGATCCTAAGTTGTTTGACATCAGAGGGAAATTTGTACTGTGATCAAACCCACTGTTGCAGAAAGGAGGAGGGATGGACTAATGAAGAAAATCAGTGAACACAGAGCTAAATATAATCTAACGTTGATTTTCAGAGAAATTTAAAAGAAAAAGTTCTTTTTTTTTTTTAAAGAAAAAGGTTTTTTTTGCTTTAAAATTAAGAAGGGAGAGCTGATATGGTACCACCCACCTGTAATCCCAGCATTTGGGAGATGGAGGCAGCAGTATCATGAGTTCAAGGCTACCTCAGACTACATAGCAAGACCCTGTCTAGAAAAAAAAACCTAAGAAGGAAAAAAGCTAAATTCAGTATAACAAATAATTGATTATACATATAAAACACACACACTTTATAAAGTTTAGCTTTATAAAGTTTCAGGGAGGAAAGAAAAGGGACTTTACATTGAAACTATTCCTGAGACACAGATATTGACTTGTGTAAGAATATTACCATTTTAGTAAATTTAATAGCAAAATACACGTGAATAGGTCAGCTAGATACTTCGTGTGTAGTGGCAGAAACAATGGATTGGGAGGCTAGTTCAGACTCTGTCATGCGTTCCCCAAGTGCCCTAGAGTTGATCTCTTCACTCTGTTGTTCATCTGTAAAATAGGAATTGTACTATAACCAACCTCAGAACAGGAGGCTTGAGGAAGATAATATGGGTCAGAATACTTTGTAAAAGGTACAGAGTTCTACTAAAATAAGTTAATTGTCATTAGTCATGGCACTTTTAATTATATGCAGTGTTTGTTGTATTTGTCTAGGTCCTGCAAGTATAGGTTTACTTAGCCCAGGAATACTGGAATATTTACTACAGTGTCTGGTAAGTGAGGCGTCAAAGCTACTTATTCTTAGTCATCTAGAATTGTATGTTTTTCTCAAATTGCAAACAGTCCCTGGCACAGAGAATACAACCAGCTGAAACTTTTATTTGCAGGTATTTGTTTATTCTGTCCTTTTTGCTTTTGTTTTATTTGGGTTTATTTTGTTTTGTTTTTATTTTGTGGTGCTGAGGATTGAACCCTGGGCCTTGTACATCTAACATTACCTTCTCTGATCAGACAGCTGATCAAAGTAGAACAAGCACTTTACTACTGGGCTCCATCCCCATCCCTCCCTCCTAATCTAAAAAGAAAAGGAAAAAAAATGGAATGAGAATTTAATGCAAGCAAAAACGGATGAATTGGTCTGGATTTACAAATTGAGTTATTAGATAGCCGCTATGATTGGCTTTTTGTGTGTTCTTAGCGTTTACCAAATGGTAAAAAGGACATTTGCAATGGAAAAAAAGGCTATATGGCATTCTAACATGAAACCAGGTTCCCAGTGTGTGTAAATCTCTACTCCTGCCACTCTCCCCTCCCCCAGTCACAGCTACTTGTTGGAGTATTTTTTACACCATCTATGAAACTCATGGTTTGTTGAGGCTTAGCCTTCAGATCTCTCACAGCACTGAACTACAGTCTTGACTGGTCTGTGTTTTTAAAAGTTATTTTCTCAGGCCTAGTAAGCATGGCCTTTTTTAAAACTCCAGTCTGAAAGACATTATTTGTTGAACCTATATGATATATGCTGAAGATTATACTTACACTACTCTAAGTGAGCTCTGTGAGGATACAGAAGTAGTAGGACACCCCTTTTGTTTTCAAGAAGTTTTGCTGGTAAGTTAAAGGAACAGAACTACTCAAACAACAGAGTTGGCCTCCATCTTATGACAGAATGTGATCAATGGCAAAGTTACTTCCTCCAAACTAAGAGTTCAGAGAAGGTGTGGGAGGTAGATGGTGTAGGTGACAATGCCTAGGGTAATCATGAGAGACAGACATCCTAATGAATGTAGGCCTTAGTTGGAAGGTAAGGATTTGATTGTGCTGAGAGGAGGGCACAATGGTTGCTTGGCTTAGGGAACACCATAGGTAGCAACCCAGGGACAGAGAGTTTTCTGATCAGAGAAGGTAATGTTAGAGGTATGAGACATGAACTGAGTAGCTCACTGGAGAGGTTCAGGATGAAAAAGCCAGGCAGAGATTTAGAATAAATATGGCACGAAACAGGATGCTAAAGAGGCTTTGCAGCAGAAGAGGATGGTGGTTATATGAGCTTTGCTGAACTTAGGCTGGCACAAGGGAAATGAGTGGGAATCCTCCAGTGATCTAGAGATTTCCAGAGGCTCCCAGCACAGTTGCGGGAAGGCATGGCCAGCAGACATGATGTTAAACAGGTAGGTCTTTGTTTACAAGGGAGCTCATGGGCTCTGAATTCAGATGGAACTCAGAGTGCACTTGCTGCTCTCTCCCCTACCATCAGCATTTATAGGATTCCATTTAGGAACCAGATTAAAAGTAAGGTATTAGTGGTTAATTTCACTATTTATAATTCTGGAACTTGATATCGATGATTTCTTTTGAGATGTCTGAACAAAAGCATCATTTTTACATACAATTCTAGTTTTCTGTTTGGCTTACTTTAATGAATGTGAGAGCCAACATTGTTTTAAGTAACAAAACCCTAATGTGAATGTTACTAAGTAAAACAACACAATATGTTTAAGATGCTATTGAAATTTTCATATCTATAAATAAACCCAGTGACTTCAAGAAAAAGTTGAATCTAAAGAGACTCGACCTTGGTTCCTAATAATATTAGCCAAATGGATAATTGAGGACTTGAATGAGTGAGACTTTAAAAAAAAAAAAAAAGGTAAAAGAAAAAGAAATTGGGCAAGAAGATGAAACTGATAACTTGCTGCCTTTGCCAGGGAATGATTTTGGTTTTTACCTTTTGTTGTCTTTCAGAAGTTACAGTCCCACCCCACAGTCATGCTTTTTGCACTTATCGCACTGGAAAAGTTTGCACAGACAAGTAGGTATAGTGACTTCTCTGCACTAATCTGTATTGATTTTAAAAAATCTTTCTTTTCTGAGTTACTAGATAAACCCATATTTTGGGCCCTATCACATGTGTGTATAATCTGTTTTTGTCTGGGTAGACACTGCTGGGACAGTAAAGTCCATCAGAGACAAGGGCAAGGATTTTTCTCACCTATGACTCCAAACGTGGTGTATATGAATACTCTTTTTTTTTTTTGGTGGAACTAGGGTTTGAACTCAGGGTTTCATGCTTGTAAAGCAGGCGATCTACCGCTTGAGTCTACTTTCAGTCCATTTTGCCCTGGTTATTTTGGAGATGGGGGTCTCACAAACTGTTTGTTCAGGCAGGCCTCAAACCATGATCCTCCCCATCTCAGTCTCCCAAGTAGTTGGGATTATGGACGTGAGCCACCAGTGTCCAGCTGAATCCTCACCTTTTATAGCTAAAAGTTTGGTAGTGAGATTGCCAGAAAGTAGTCAAAGCTCTTTAACTAAGTCATCCCTAGAAACTTTAGTGAAAGTCCATGTGGACTCCAAGTTCTCTAATTGCCTTTTTTCACTCCTTACCACCACTACTGCAACAAATCATCCTACTCTTTCATTGTTAACTCAAAGATTTCATCCTTCCAAACAGGTGAAAACAAATTGACTATCTCTGAGTCCAGTATTAGTGACCGGCTTGTCACCTTGGAGTCCTGGGCTGATGATCCTGATTATCTGAAGCGTCAAGTTGGCTTCTGTGCCCAGTGGAGTTTAGACAATCTTTGTGAGTGGCAGTTGTCCTTTATGAAAATGTGTTTCCATTTCCAAACTCATTCTTTGATAGGCTCATTGGCTTTCCTTTCACTAGTGTGAGTCCTTTTATTAGGTCTTCTACTGGTAGGTTGCATAAATTCTAGCAGAAATATCCTAGAGACCTGTCAGAGAAGAATTATATGGAATTCTCCTGTTCTCAACTCTTTCATGGCACCCTATTTCCTGCTGCATAAAGGTCCTTAATCATACTGCACTATCTAACCCACTGTTCAACACATACTGTCTCCTCACTGTCCTGTACACAGGCCCCGCTGACTCCATCTCTAGGCTTGTTCACCCCCACTTGGATTTTGTCTTCAAACCCAAGTCATGTCTTACCCACACCATGAAAGTTGTTGATGACTTTTTCTCTTTTTCTCCTACAAGGACTACTAGAACAAAATCTGTACCTCTGCTATATCCTAACTCCCCATTCCCCATTCTTAGCACTGTGCAAATTACAGTTGGACGTGTAATTCCCCACTCCTACCCCAACGTTTTTGTGTGGCCTGTGTAGTGCTAGTTAAAGAATAACTTTGAAAAAGTGCTATTTGGGTTTTGTTTCATGCAGAATAATAAATAAAGGGGAATAAAGGGCTGCTTCTCCTGACATTTGCTTGGTCACCTTCATATGGTAGTATAAGAGCAAATCCAAGGTGTTAAGCCTCCCAGTCAATTCTCTGTCCCTTGGCAAGGGTGGCATATGGAGATGGCAGTAGCTTTCCTTTTCCTCCCACAGCAGCCTGCCCTAAGAAACATGACCCCTTTCTCTTTTGCAGTTTTAAAAGAAGGTAGACAACTGACCTATGAGAAAGTAGACTTGAGTCGCATAAGGGCCATGCTGAACAGCAATGATGTCAGTGAGTACCTGAAGATCTCACCTCATGGCTTGGAGGTAAGGTCAATGGAACTTTTTGGGGAGTAAAATTATTTTGCTCCCTTTTTCATGCCCTATTTCTGAACAAAAACAATGCTTTGCAGAACAGGTAGAAATTTATTTCCTCCTGAAGATAGGTCAGAGTTCTGTAGAAGAGGTGGGACAGAGAGTGTTTCAGAACATTATCTACTCTCTGATGTTCCACCTGGTACTGCAAGCACTACAACACTTGCTGACTATATTATGTGCTTTTAACGTTTGCCATTTTAGCCAGATAAAGGTACAAAGACTCTTGTTTTAAAAAGAGGCTCCTCCTTTTTAAAATACTCTCATACCAGTCATATTAGGTCAGTGCTTCCCTTTTCCCCTGTGTGTTGAATGTTGCCCTTTTTGTGGTGGAGGGTGATGTAAGAGCTGCGTATATACAGGAATGTGTGACATGGAACAGCCATGTCAAGCGTGAAGAACTGATCGAAAGATGGCTGCAACCAGTTCTTTGATTCTATGGATTGCCAAATTCCTATGTAGTTTTTCTGCTTTAGATTACACTTAGGTACTGTCTTATACCCTTCTCTCCCTCTATCTAATCTGAAAGCGAAGCCGTGTAAATACTGAAAATTGAAGCGAATAGCCTACTAATTCTTATTGCAGCCATCTTTGAGGTCTTGTAAGTTTGGCACCAATCTTGTTAGGGCTCACTCCTTAGAAATTAAACTATGAAAATTCATAGAGTGTGTTTTGTTCAGTTTTATGCTTTTCTATCACCGAGGATGAACAGAGAGCTTTAACAAGGAAAACTTTACCCAGCCTTCCCTGTGTTGGTTACTTGGTGGTATTTAGGTACTGATGGTGGATTGTCACACTCTTTGGTTCTTTTAGGCTCGTTGTGATGCCTCCTCTTTTGAAAGTGTGCGCTGCACTTTTTGTGTGGATGCTGGGGTATGGTACTATGAAGTAACAGTGGTCACTTCTGGTGTCATGCAGATTGGCTGGGCCACTAGAGACAGCAAGTTTCTCAATCACGTGAGTACCTTGGGGTGGGGGTGAGGGGGGGTCAAATGCATATACAGCATCTTGCTGTCTTTTCTGCTGAGTTGGTAGAAGATATTCAGGCACAGTAATTTTATCAGATGAGTTTCCTCAGTGACCACATGGTGCCAGAGTCCTAACAGTGGTTTGCTAAACTGATTCAGAAATAGGAAAACATACAAGTGGCTCATACCTGTAATCCTAGCTACTTGCGAGGCTGAGATCGAAAGGATCATGGTTCGAGGCCAGCCTCGGCAAATAGTTCATGAGACTCCATCTCCAAAACAACCGGAGCAAAAGGGACTGGAGGTGTGGCTCAAGCAGTTGAGTGCCTGCCTTGTAAACATTAAGCCCTGAGTTCAAACCCCAGTCCCACCAAAAACAAATCTTGAGCCCAGTGTGGTGGTGCACACCTGTAATTTAAGGACCCATGAGACTGGACTAGGAAGATCACAAGTTTGAGACTACCTTAGGCTACGTACTGAGACCTTTATCTCAAAAACAAAACAATGTGCTATTTCCAGAGCACCTTCATTTTAGTCTATCATCTGATTCCCACATCATTCTTTATAATTTCCATTTCACAGATAAGAAAACTGAAACCAAGAGTATGAAGTAAACTAGGACTAGAATTCAGTCCCATCTGTATTCTATAGCAGTTCTATACTTTGTATTCAAAAATGGGGAGAAACTGCCAGACCTGGCACCGAACATCTGTAATCCAACACATGGGAGGCTAAGGCAGAAGGATCTTGAGCTTGAGGCCAGCCTGGACTACAGAGTGAGACTCCGTCTCACCTACACACTCACCCAAAAATTGAGGAAAATCTGAGAAAATTAGCTAGTCTCCTTATGTGGAAGTGAAAAGGTATTCCAGAAGTAGAGGAAACAGGGATCCTTCCATGGAGGCAGTTCTATGTAAAATTTGTCTCTTCTGATTTGCTATATGCTACACACTACAGGTCCAGGAATAACATATCTTTTTTTTTTTTTGTACTTGGGGTTGAACTCAAGGCCTTGTACTTGCTAGGAAAGTGTTCTACCACCTGAGCCATGCCTCTAATCCCTATAAATATTTTTTTAATGTCCAGTGAAGCTAAATCATTTCATCTGGGGGATGAAACTATGATTTCTGCCATATAGTTGTAGGTATTTGGCTCCTCAAATTAAGAGGCTTAAAAGTGATTTGTTTTTTAAAAAAAATAAACTGGTTTATTCACTGTTAATGAAGTCTTGTATGTCTTTTCCCAAACTAGGATTTTTATATTGCCATACTTAGAACTTTGCTTCAAATGGACATTGTTCTGGTGATTCTGAATCTTTTTGCCTGAACAGACAGGGTGTGGTTTTATTGAGCTAGTCATTTCTAGGATACACCCAGTTTCAGAAGACTTGAAGTCTTTCCATAGCACCTCTTATTTTAACTCTTACTGTTTGGGCTTCAGTTTTGAAAGGATGATCAACATGTTGGACTCAGAGATAGATCATTAAAATGAGAAGCTTAAGGACAGTCCTTGTTCAGGCCACCTACAGAGCAGTTTGTCTTATATGTTTTTATAAATGGTTGGAGCAGTAGGTCTCTAAGGGTGTACTTTTATTACCTGAACTGAATGAGACTCTGGGTAGATTTCCAGAAGGGAGGAGGCCTCCATCTGGCCCTTGGATTCTAGGTTCTCACAAAAAAGACTTTTAGAACACATGAGGTAGGGACCAAGAAAGTTTGAGTAATACAAAGCAATGGAAGGAATAGTACACACCCAGAATTGGGTGTGGGCACACCTGATAAGAGGCACTGAGAGCTCTAACATCAGGAGTATTTATGGTTAAAAAAAAAAAAAATACTGGATTGGGGATTTGGCTTAACTTTTCCTTATGATAAATGTTCCCATTTATTCTGGACACCTGGTATATTCAGTCATTCTTGTTGTTACATTGTTTTGACATTATCACTTGGGCCCAGAAATATCAAGTCTTATCAGTTTACTAAATTTGGGTTGTTGTGATGTAATGTCTGTTCTCCTTGAGCAGCCTTTAAACAAAGGATGGGTTTCATCAGCTGTTCCTTTCAAGATTGGGGGAACCTTCTTTAAGATAATTTTTTTCTTCTTTTTCAAACATTTCTATAATCAAAGGTGTCATTATATTAAATGATTTTCCCCCAGGATTTGTGTCTTTAAGATATTATTACTCAGTTCCCAGAGTGTAGTAATCATTTGGGCAATCTGGTAAATCAGAGGGGAGAGAACTAATTCCCATCCAACCCTCCTGCCCCCAACACACACACTGGGGTTTGAACTCAGGGCCTACAACTTGAGCCACTCCACCAGCCCTTTTTTTGTGATAGGTGTTTTTGAGATAGGATATCATGATCCTCCTGATCTCTGGCTGCCTCCTGAGTAGCCAGTGCCAGCTTGCTTCTTTTTTTTTAATTGTAAGTTGCAGCTTAGCAAGGGAGTGTGAAATAAAGAAAGCAGCGTCTATGCTTTTAATCAAGCTAGTCACTAACACAGTGTTTATCTCTGAATTGCTGGCTCCTGTTTCCCATGCCTTATTTTCCCTGCTCTATCCTGCCTCATTTTGACTTATCTAAAATATCTTTCACCTTTTCATGATCCTCTATCCTGTGATAGATCTTTAACATACCTGTAATCTTTTTGAGAGTTTGGGAGGCTATTACTCTCTCATTTAAAAATAGGGAGGTAATAATGTACCATATATTTCAAACAACTATAAGAAATGATTTTGGAATTTTTCACCATAAAAAAATGATAAATGTTTGGGCTGTCAGTATGGCTCAAGAGATAGAACACTTGCCTAGCAAGCACAAGACTTTGAGTTCAAACCCAGTACTTCCAAAAAAGAAAAGAAAAATGATAAACATTGAAGAGATTGATATGTTAAACCTGATTTAAACACTACTCCATGCATACATGTACTAAAACATTACATGGTACTCCAGGAATGTCTGTCATTTTTATATTTTAGGTATCAGTTAAATTGAAAAAAAATAAATCTGGGGGCTTGGTTCAAGTGATAGAATGCTTGACTAGCATGCAGGGGGCCCTGAGTTCAATCCCCAATACTGAAAGAAATTATTACTACTACTATTATTACTGTTATTATTGGCATACACAATAAAGAAAAATAAGGAAAATAAGATTCTGAGAAATTAAGAAATTTGCCTCATGCTACCTAGCCTCCAGCTGCTAGAAAAGATTTCAAAGCCTGGGCAGGATGGCCTGTGCTCCTTACCTTGTGGAAGCATCCTCCCATGGAGAAGGTGGCTCTGCCTTTCTCAACAGAAAAGGAATGACTTAGAAGCCTGTCTGGAGCTGGTAGGGGTTTGGGAGATAGGCAGATTCTAAGGCAGTGTCAGGACTAAGAGATAGGAAGTACAGCCAGTATTTTAGGACAGCTTAGCCACAACACAGCTGATACTGATGCCACAAATCAGTCTTAATCATCCATCCCTGTATGATGGAAGCATCTAGTTGGCTGAGCCTAGGTGTGTCTTCCTCCATTTGCAGAGCAGGAAGCAACCACTATCTTCCTTATACTTCCCATAATAGGAAGCTGCTAGGATGTTGCATAGCTAAAAAAAAGAACAGTGCCCACCATGTGAGGAAGGAATTCAAAATATTCTATGAATGACAAGCTATAGATAAACTTTTTTGTTTGTTTTAGTAATGTTTCCATTGCTAAAACGTACATAACCAGAAAATAGGGTATTCAGTGGGAACCAAGGTTAATACTATCGGGAATGTTTTTGAAGGTATAGTGTATAGTTTGCTCTCTGAGACATAAGCTCAAAGGAATTTTTAAAGTTCATCTCTGTTAGACAAAGGCACCCACTTCTTAGTTCTGTACGAGTTTGATCTGTGATATAATCAGGGTCCCACAATGCCACTCTGTTATGGAACCATCCAGCTGTAAAGGACATTGCAGGGTAATGGTTAGGCCACCTTTGGTGGCTAAGAATCTTCTATGAATTTCTTTCAAGTGTTGTGTGAAAGACTTCCTCTCAAACATTAGAAAGTGAAAATAGAATTGTTTGCCTTTGCGTATGTCCCAACACCTAAAATTTTAGTGTTTTGTTTTTTTTTTTTAATTTGTTCATTTTGGTTTGGTTTGGTTTTTGGCATTGGGGATTTAACCCAGGGCCTCATACTTGCTGAGTACAGCTCTACTGTTAACGGCAAAAGGTATTTCCAGAAGATCTTGGTTCTTGCACTCTGGCATGAAAGAATCCAGCAGGACACACGGGTGTAAATGGGGTTTATTAAAATTTAGGGAAAGGAAAATACAAAGAGGAGCATGGGGCGGGGCGTTGGCTCACTTTCAGTGCCATCACTTCTCCCCCACCAAGTCTATTCAGCTCAGGAAGGTGTTGGGGACAGAAACCCTTCCCCTGGGGGCTGAATTTTCTTCTCGGGACCTGACCCATTCTGTAAATCCACAAATTGCCCCATACCTTCTGTGCCTTTTGCCTGTCCCCATGTCAGAGTTGGTGGGCACAGGTGGAATCTGCTAACAGAGAGAGCATGCTTCTCTTCTCCAGGTGCTTTTAAAACTTACTCTAATCTATGGGAAGGGAGGAACCAGGTGATTTCCATCCAATGATTGATGAGTGGGGAGGGGCATGGGCAGTCCCCAGACCAGGTGAGGGTGGTCTGGGCTGTCCCTGGGCAGCCTACATATGAGTCCTGAACTTTCCCTACTTCTAGCCTGCCTCACTACCACTGGGGGTTTAGCAGTTTTAAAGTTTTTTGCTTACAGACTTGTTCAGCCCTTGAAAGGGATAGCAAGTTGTTCTTTGTAGCAGATTGCTGAATTTCTTCTCTGCCTAAAGGCAATTAGATGCAAGTTCATTTAACTTTTGAATAGTCTGCATAGCGTCTATAAACAACTAATTCAGAAGCATCACCTTGAGAACATTCTTTGGAATTCAGTGTATCATAGTTCAGTTGTCAGAACTTTTTTTCCAATCTGCACGCGTGCACACACACACCCGTACTGGGTTTGAACTCAAGGCCTCATACTTGCTAGGCGGATGTTCTACCACTTGTGCCACCCCACCAGCCCTCTTTTGTGATTTTTCTTTTTTTTTTTGAAATAGGGTCTTGCAAACTCTTTGCCTGGGCTGGCTTCAAACCTTGATCCTTCTGATCTCTGCCTCCTGAGTAGCTATGATGACAGGCTACAGGCATGAGCCACTGGTGCCTGGCTGTAGCCCAAATTTTCAATCCCTTTCTCCACTAACACTTTTTACCATTGATCCTTAAAGCTAGCAGTTGTTTGATTTGTGTATTTCTTCTGGGTTTTTTTATTTTTGTTAAGCACTGCAAATAATTTCTTAAACTCCCTTTCACACTTGTATGTTAATAATTCTGGGAAATAATTGAAAGGCAATAAGTATTAAAGAAGAATTGTCATCAAGAACCTGATGACACTCTTGATTGAGCTACTTTCAGAATAGCTTTTAGCTGATTATCCACTTTATCCTTTCTCATAAAGTCTAAGAATTTGAGTATTTTGAATCTACTACATGAAGTAAAGTTGTTTGGCCACAGTGAAGTGGAAAGGATGGTGATGTTGAAGTCAGAAGACTAAGTCCAAATCTGGCTCTGATTCTCTTGTAACATGCCTATAGGTCAAGTTGATTGTCCTCTCTGAGCCTTTGTTTCCTCTTACAATGTAGTATAATGTCATTAGACTCTTGGTGGCCAGTGACAACTAAACCAGAGAAAGTACCTGGAGTGAAGGGGGGAACTTGATGACACCATTATCTATTAACTTGGAACCTAGCCCTCTAGTGATAATTTTGGTATCTTCTGAGAACCCTGGCTCTCCCTGAATCCAAAAATCTTAGAATTGTAGCCACTAGTTTAACCATTATGACACACTCTCTTCTCAGCTCAGAACAGGCAGAGCCTTGCTAATTTTCTGGGCCTTGGCTCTTTTTAGGAAGGTTATGGCATTGGGGATGATGAATACTCCTGTGCATATGATGGCTGCCGGCAGCTGATTTGGTACAATGCCAGAAGTAAGCCTCACGCACACCCATGCTGGAAAGAAGGTATTTATTTTTCTCCTCTATGAATTTATTACCTGGGTATTTTGAGACAGTTACTATGGTAGGCCTGAAAATGTCTTCATGGAAAATGTCTTCATAGATGTTTAATTATATTCCCTAATAAACTCACCTCAGGTAGAGCCCTTCTTATAGCAAAGACATTTCAGAATATAAAATTCTTAAGTTGAGGGGAAATGCTACTCTTAAGATTAAAAAGAGTCTGTTTTGAATCAAAGCAGCTATGGAGCTATCAAGGACATAGGAATTGTAATGCCACTCAAGTGAGGATATTTTCAGAGACAGGATGACTATAGAAGACGTACTAGTCAGTGGTCATGCTCTGAGGAAGTCGGTCATGTGGTAAGGGGTGGAACCTGGAAGGAATTTTATTCTCAGCATTGGAGCTAGATAAGACGTTTAGCCCAGCTCCTTCTCCATGCATCCCCTCTCATTTTCCTACCCTAACCAACATTGTAGATGTAAATTGAAATTTTAAGCATGTTAACAGAGCAGGAATTTGACCACTCCTGTGAGGAGGTAGCTCCACTTACTAAACTGATAAAATGGAAAAGGGGAAAAAAAGTCAGAAAAGACAGCAGGAACACTCATTTTAATGCTTTCACATTCTTGAAGGAACATGAAACTTACTCATTTCAGAGAATAATATAAAGGCACTGTTTCCAAAAACTGTCATTTTAATAAGAATTTTAAAAATATTTCTGAATGTATGTGTTATAATAAATATAGAAAAGAACAATGCAAATAAACTTTAACATCCCTTAAAATCCCTTATACTTTCTCTTTTTTTTCCTATATTGGGGTTTGAAGTTAGGGCCTACACTTTGAGCCACTCCACCAGCCGTTTTTTGTGATGGATTTTTTTTTTTTTTGAGATAGTGTCTCTCAAACTATTTTCTCTGGGGCTGGCTTTGAACTAGGATCCTCTTGATCTCTCCGTCCCTAGTAGGGTCTCACTTTTTGCCCAGGCCAGCTGCATGATCCTCCTATTTTACACTTCTCTACCGGGTTGACAATGTATACCACCACACCCAGCTATTGGTTGAAAAAGAGGGTCTCGAGGTTTTTTCTTCTTTTTTTTTTTTCAGGCACTCTACCACTTGAGCCACTCTGCCACTAGCCAGCCCTTTTTGTTGGGTATTTTTGAGATAGGGTCTTGCAAACTGTTTGCCTGGGCTGATTTCAAATTGTGATCCTTCTGATATATGCCTCATGAGTAGCTAGGATTACAGGTGTGAACCACAAGCACCTGGCTGAAAAACTGAAACTAGATCCATGTATATCACCCTATACCAAGATTAACTCAAAATGGATCAAGGATCTTAATATCAGACCCCAAACTCTTAAGTTGATACAAGAAAGAGTAGGAAATACTCTGGAGTTAGTAGGTATAGGTAAGAACTTTCTCAATGAAACCCCAGCAGCACAGCAACTAAGAGATAGCATAGATAAATGGGACCTCATAAAACTAAAAAGCTTCTGTTCATCAAAAGAAATGGTCTCTAAACTGAAGAGAACAACCACAGAGTGGGAGAAAATATTTGCCAATTATACATCAGACAAAGGACTGATAACCAGAATATACAGGGAACTTAAAAAACTAAATTCTCCCAAAACTAATGAACCAATAAAGAAATGGGCATGTGAACTAAACAGAACTTTCTCAAAAGAAGAAATTCAAATGGCCAGAAAACACATGAAAAAATGCTCACCATCTCTAGCAATAAAGGAAATGCAAATTAAAACCACACTAAGATTCCACCTCACCCCTGTTAGAATAGCCATCATCAGCAACACCACCAACAACAGGTGTTGGCGAGGATGCGGGGAAAAAGGAACCCTTTTACACTGTTGGTGGGAATGTAGACTAGTACAACCACTCTGGAAAAAAATTTGGAGGCTACTTAAAAAGCTGGACATCGATCTACCATTTGATCCAGCAATACCACTCTTGGGGATATACCCAAAAGACTGTTACTCCAGAGGCACCTGCACATCCATGTTTATTGCGGCACTATTCACAATAGCCAAGTTATGGAAACAGCCAAGATGCCCCACCACTGACGAATGGATTAAGAAAATGTGGTATCTATACACAATGGAATTTTATGCAGCCATGAAGAAGAACGAAATGTTATCATTCGCTGGTAAATGGATGGAATTGGAGAACATCATTCTGAGTGAGGTTAGCCTGGCTCAAAAGACCAAAAATGTATGTTCTCCCTCATATGTGGACATTAGATCAAGGGCAAACACAACAAGGGGATTGGACTATGAGCACATGATAAAAGCGAGAGCACACAAGGAGGGGTGAGGATAGGTAAGACACCTAAAAAACTAGCTAGCATTTGTTGCCCTTAACGCAGAGAAACTAAAGCAGATACCTTAAAGCAACTGAGGCCAATAGGAAAAGGGGACCAGGAACTAGAGAAAAGGTTAGATCAAAAAGAATTAACCTAGAAGGTAACACCCACACACAGGAAATCAATGTGAGTCAATGCCCTGTATAGCTATCCTTATCTCAACCAGCAAAAACCCTTGTTCCTTCCTGTTATTGCTTATACTCTCTCTACAACAAAATTAGAGATAAGGGCAAAATAGTTTCTGCTGGGTATTGAGGGGGGGAGCGGGAGGGGGTGGAGTGGGTGGTAAGGGAGGGGGTGGGGGCAGGGGGAGAAATGAACCAAGCCTTGTATGCACATATGAATAATAAAAGAAAAATGAAAAAAAAAAAAAAAAAAAAAAAAAAACATGTTTTTGGGTAGTTGTTATCTGGGAAATTTTAAATCTCACCAGTGAGGCAAATAAAAACCGTATTTGCCTTACCATATTTCACTGATCCCAGCATACACATTTTTCCCACATTTTAACATCCTTAAAATTGAGATTAGGCTATAACTGATAGCTTGTTATAGTTTAATTGGCAGCATTGTTTTCTTAACGATACATGAAAAAAATTGGTATGTAGGAATCAGGTTAGTTGCAGAAGAAACAAAGATGAACATGTTGAATTTATGGCTAAAAATATAAACTTAATACAGAGCCACTAGAGCACTTACAGAATCTTGATAGTACACAGCACTATCCTAACAGTGTTTTGCTTTATCTGCTAGGAGACACAGTTGGGTTTCTGTTAGACTTGAATGAAAAGCAAATGATCTTTTTTTTAAATGGCAACCAGCTGCCTCCTGAGAAGCAAGTCTTTTCATCTACTGTGTAAGTAGCTCTTCTCAAATTTAAGTAGATGCATGGATGTACTTTTCCCTGGGATGGGGAGGGGGGATGGGACACAGACTTTATTCATTGATGTAGGCAATTATGGTGGAAAAGTGATTTATTTCAAGTGCTTTAGTTGGGGATCCATTTAATCCAACCTAAAACTATCCCAGCGTTTGATACAGAAAGATAAAGGCACAATATTCTCTGGTTCATAGACCTGTCTAGCTTAGTACACAGGGCCAGTGTATGACTGGCTCATAACTTTCTAAAAGCCATGGTATGTATTAACTTCACTTTGTTTTTACAAATTTTATTGACCTCTGTACTCATTTTTATTTGTAGATCTGGATTTTTTGCTGCAGCTAGTTTCATGTCATATCAACAATGCGAGTTCAATTTTGGAGCAAAACCATTCAAATATCCACCATCTATGAAATTTAGCACTTTTAATGACTATGCCTTCCTAACAGCTGAAGAAAAAATCATTTTGCCAAGGTAAGGATCCTTCCCAGTCTATCTCCAGACTGCACATGCATCTCTGCAGTCTGGAGATTAAACTAATTTCTGAGAGACCTTTTTAAAACTTTTAGCAAGTAATTTGATAAACCTCACTGAAAAAGCTGACTTTCTGGGAAATATAAATTACTGAAACAGATCCCAGAAAAGATACATAAAACCCAATTATTAGCATGAAATTATTTTTCTTTTTAACTAAGAGCTAAGTTTCCCAAATGCACTAGACTTATGTGGTTCCATGAGGGAATCTCTACCAAATTTGTACATATACAGTCTTGTTTATTATTTAAAGTGTTATAGAACCCAGAAAGAAAGAAGAAACATGTCCATATTCTTCTTATAAGCCAAATAGTGTTGGTATAAAAATCACACACCAAAAAAACTGCACACTAACTAAACTTGAATGTCAATGTACAAATCCTAAGTGTTAGGAAATTAAATGCATCTGTTAACAAATTTGATTTATTGAAACCAAGTTCATTCAGGTTTTAGCTTCATGGAAAAGATGATAACATAACCATTAGGACAGGGAATGCCATCTCAGATAAAATTTCACTACCTTTCTTTGACAAAATTGTGATTGGCATTAATTGGCTCCCTGGATAAATGCCCGCTTGTCTTCCTTACAAGATGAATGTAGTCTGTTCCTTCAGCTGGGGAAAGGCTCCAGCTGCTTCCTGGTAATTACTACAAGTTGAAGTTTGTTACACAATGTGAACCAAAGTTTTATCATTTTTTAACAGAGCAGCTGCCTGGGCCTGTGTGAGGCAGATTATTCCTGCTACTAATGCCACATATCATTAAGAGAGTCCTTTAGCAGTTAAGGGGACCATACTGGTCAGGACATAGCTATTGCTGGACCATAATGCCCCTGAAGATACCCACAACATAATAAGAGTCCTGGCTCCTGTTTTGGAACAGAACATGAGTCTATAAGCAGTCCTCTGGACTGTGCTTCACCTTGGACTCTGTGTCTTATGGCGTAACAGTTTCCAGGTGAACTAGAACACATCACAGTTACAGCAACACTGTCTATAGCAAGAGAGCCTTGGGAATATCACAAGAACTTAAAGCCTATTTACATCCCAACTCAGAGATCTGAGGTCTGTTCATAGAATTGCCATTCAATTTGTCTTGGTGCCTGACAGAAATTCTGAACATTTAATTCCTTCTGATGAAAGTCTGAGGTGACACCTTTCTCTCTTATCTGTCACACCCCATTCCTTTTTCATATAGCTTGCCTTTTCCCTGAGTGAGGCTCACAAATGACCTGACAGGTACAACTGATCCATCTAAGAGTTCCCCAGAGGGTGGCCTTAATCAAAACTGCTTCAGCATTTAGTTAACTGCTCCTGCAGGGTTAAAACTTTCCAAAACCCAGATGATAATGAGAACCAATTATTGGAAAGTCTCCTTTTATAACCAGATTATATGTACTGTCTTTGTGACAGTATATATAAATTTGGCACCCAAAGTTTGTCCTGTCTTGAATTAGAACATCAGAATTACCAGCTCAGTCAATCCTATGCTGTATCTAGGCTTTGTTGCCTCTGACAGAGACATCAAGAAAAAGAAAGTGTTGAAGCCTACTGAGTGGCCTTGAACCTCTGCCACCTTGTTCCTTTTAACATTCCAGTTGCACTTAGGCATTAAGTGTGAATCTCCCAAGACTATTTTCTGTATCACTGATGATTTCAGCCTGGGTTCCAGAAACTTATAGTCAATAATGCATTTTTTACTCAATGAATATCATTCCTTTTTTGGCTTTAGGGGTAGGAGATCATAGCCATGTTACTACTACCTGGAATTTTATACATTTTTCGTATTGTTTATACTCTAAGTATAAACAATACTTACAGTATTTTTTTTTTCTTAATCTTTTTATTATAGAAAACTTCAAATACATGCAAAAGAATAGTACAGTGAAGCACCATATGCCCTCAAATAAAACAGTCATCCACTCCTGGCCACCAGTTTCCCCTAGGATCTTCTCTCATCTCTGTCAATACTCCATTATCATTCCAGTTTCCCTGTGGCTGCTACCTATAATGGTCTCTCCAGACATCCACAAGGCTCACTTCCTCAGTCCCTTCATGTTTTCACTAACATCACCTTAGTGAGACCTTCCTTGACCACTGCCGTACTTAAAATTACAACTCCATACCTTTCATACACACACACTCCTTGTCCTTCCCATTTTTCTTGATTGTATTCATCAGAATCTAACATTGTTTATCTTATTTCTGTCTCCTGTCACTGGAGAATAAGCTCTCTAAAGGCAGGGGTACTTTTTTTAAGAGTCCTCTGTTCACTGCTGAGCCACTAGTGCTTGGGCCAGTGCGTGGCACATAGTAAGCCCATAAGTGAACCACAGAGCAGTTCTCCTGTCTGCTTTCCCATCCCATGCTAAGTGTAATGAAAAAAATTCAACCTTGAGGTGTCTGGACTTTTAGGGAACATGCAGTGGGCTGTCATAACCCCTTGAAATTCTATAAAACTTTATATGTGTCTTTCCTGGGAAAGGTTCTATGCTTTCCATCAAATTCTCAAGAGATGTGTAACTTAAAAGAGAAAAAGAGCACTGGACTTAGATATAAATTTGATTTCTGACTGTTTACTATGTACAACCTTATGTAAATCACTTCCAGCAACTATAATTTCTTTGTCTGTAAAATGAGAATAGCCATGTCTCCTTCACTACTATTAAGATTGAAATGAGATACTGTGCATGAAAACTTAACTGAATAAAGTTTAAGGGGTACCTAGTAATCTCCTGTGTACAGAGCATTTTCAAAGCATTCCATATGCGTTACTGCTAACAGACACCCTTTACCTGTTGGGAAATGAATTTCAAACCGCTTTGTCTACTCAGGCACAGGCGTCTTGCTCTGTTGAAGCAAGTCAGTATCCGAGAGAACTGCTGCTCCCTTTGTTGTGATGAGGTAGCAGACACGCAGTTGAAGCCATGTGGACACAGGTAAGAGTATATCTTTGGTTGTTTCATCTTTTTGTACATTACATTAAGGGATATTTCATCTTTTTCCTGGAATTGCTTTTAGAGTGTTACCAGTTCTGTAGCTGTTCATCAGTGTTTATTATATCCAAAGTGGGCCAGATGAAGAATTCATTTACCAAGTAGTATGGACTCCAGTTTGTTATCTCCAGGAATGACTCAGACTAGACTTCTGATTCTGCCTCTATACATTTATGAAATGAGTTGCTTTCTAATTGGCTGTTAAGGGAAATGCATTGTATTTCCTTTCACACTTAGCTGTACCAGTTTCTCTTCTGCAGCCGAGAATTTTGCAGATGATCACCTTTGCAGGTTTTAATCACTGGGGCCTTAAAGACAGAGTCAGAGTTTAAAGCTTGAATATCTTGCTTTTGTTTTTGAGACAGGATCTTACTACAGCTCAGGCTGGCCTTGAACTCAAGATCTTCCTGCCTCAGCCTCCCAAGTGTTGGAATTATAGGTTGAATATCTTGATGCCCTTTTTGATCTTTGTTTCTGTAAAAATGTTAAGATCCCAAACAGGGCTAGTGGAGTGGCTCAAGTGGTAGAACTCCTGCCTAGCAAACTTGAGGCCCTGAGTTCAAACCCCAGTACCACCAAAAAAAGATCCCAAACATATGGTCATTAATCTTTGAGCCTTCTAGCCCTTCTCTATGATTTTATACAAAATAAGGGCTAATGTGTAAAAACTTATTATGATCATAGTTTCTATAATAGATATATCCAAAACAGAATCAGAAAAGGAAATTAAATTAGTTCACCTTTGAACAACAAGAACAATTTTTAAAGGGTTGCAGTAAAGAAAGAAAGTCTGAATGAAATGAATGACAAGAACTGACAGAATAGATTAAAAATCTAAGCATTCCTATTACTATAGAAGAATTAAGGTAGTTATCAAAGCCACCTTTGTCTTCCCTCCCAGAGTACCTCACCCAGATGTTTCACAGGTAAATTCTTTAGTTTTTAGGAAAAAGATAGTCTAATTCTCTCTAAATGACCACAGAGAAAAAAAAATAGGAACTCCACAATGTTATTTTTTACAGAGCCTTTGTGTTAATTACTCAAAATCTGATAAAAACACAAACACAAAAAAAGATAAAAACCTGGGATCAAACCCAGGATCTGGATAACATAGTGAAACCCCATCTCAAAAGAGTTTGACGTTTTGAAGCATTAACTTGACTAGGGAGAGAGGGAGGGAGTAAGGAAAAAAGGAAGTCAGGGAAGAAACTTTTAGACTTCCAAGGAATGTAATAGAATACTTGAATAAATGAACCTGTTCTTGGATAGGAAGCTCTCTCAGTGTAGTAAAGTAATAGTCTCTGTAAACTTTAATTTGATCCATATAGAAAGGGCAACATAATTTTTTTTTCTGGAACTAGACCTGCTAATTTAAAAGTTTAGGAGCTGGTAGAATAGCTCAAGTGGTAAAAGTGCCTACCTAGTAACATGAGGCCCTGAGTTCAAGCCCCAGTATCTCCAAAAAAAAAAAAAAAGAAAGAAAATTTGGAATAAAAGTTACAGAGAAGACAATCCTGTCTTCTATATACATATATATCTGAACGTATATTAAAATAAGTGTTATTAATTTGGTATATGACAAGAAAATGAAACAAAATAGCAACCCAGAGATAGAAATAATTAAAAATGAAAATTTAGCATATGATAAAGTCATTGCATTGGCTAAGTGCTGGTGGCTCATGCCTATAATCCTAACTACTCAGGAGGCAGAGATCAAAAGGATTGTGGTTCAAAGCCAGCCCAGGCAAATAGTTCACGAGACCCTATCTCAAAACAGTGGTGGTGGAGTGGTTCAAAGTGTAGGCCCTGAGTGCAAGCCCCAATACCACCAAAAAAAAAAAAGGCATTGCGTCAAATCTGCAGTGAAAGATGAACTACTTGGTAAATGATATTGGAAGAAGAACAGCATTGTATCTTTATCTTTGAGTAACATCTGCATGTATATGCTGTATACATACAGACTTTGCAGAAGAATGCACATAAACTTTAACTTATTCCTCAGAGGAGAAAGACTGAGGATCAGAAATGAGATTTTTATTTTTGTATTTGCTTAATTTTATTTCTAAGCCATGTGTAATTATAGCTAACTATGACCAACTAACGAACTTGTTAACACTTTATATTTGATTGGTAGATAGTTTTTGAAGCATTAACTTGACTAGCATTTATGTCTTTCTCCTCAGTGACCTGTGCATGGATTGTGCCTTGCAACTGGAGACCTGCCCATTGTGTCGTAAAGAAATAGTGTCTAGAGTCAGACAGATTTCTCATATTTCATGACACATGTGAAGAGGCATCATGGACTTATTTCTACTCAATTCCAGCCAATGTCGAAAAGAAAAAGAAAAAAACCCATCTCTAATCAGTTGTATGCACATTGAAACTTAGAGCCATGGCCAGATTTTATGCTACAGATGGTAGTTTGTCAAAGACAAAATTCTCTTAGAATCTAATCCAACTTGCCAGCCCTGAATTCCTTTTAAGGCCAAGGAAAGCTGAATGCGAGCAGCCAGGCCTGTGGTACTTCCATGAAAACAGTAGGCGACAGAGCCCTACTGAGTGCGGAAACCACCCCGGATTCTCCATGTTGGGTTCGTGTGATTGTTTAGCACAGGATGCTTTGTGTCATAGTCTATAAAGTTTTTTATTTTGGGGAGAAGTCATTTTGGAGACATAAATGACAGCATTTCTGGGTTAAGCATCACTGATCAGACAGACACCAGTGTGATAAGCATAGATATTGCACTCCAAGACTTGAATCTGTAAAGTAGACCACACAGGTCACCACCGCAAGCAGCATGGAGGACCTGAAAGAAGGTGCACAGACTGTAGAAAAAACCCACATTTTTATATTTCAGTGATTCCAAAGAACATTCTAGGTTTTTTTAACTGCAGAAAATTGGTGGTATTTTCACATTCATGGTGTTTCTATCCAGTTTCAGTACCTACATTTTGTGAGGAAAAAAATGTTTTACCAATGCAAGAGGAATTCTTAAATCAATTGTAATGTTAGACTGGAGAAAATTTGGTATTTAGGGTATTTTTAAGGTACCATCAAATCAGGTTTTTTGTTTTTTGTTTAAAAAAATTTTTAATCAGTATTGTTTTTGGAAGTAATATACTTTGAAACTCTTGAACTAATAGTCTAAAAACTCTAGAGGTCAGTCTGAGAACACGTATTCCTGTTGTTTTAAATAAATACATGTTTTTGAATAGTAAATTCAATCATGGATTGTTGACTATGTCTTCATCAAAAGTGTTTATCCCTCTCAGGGTCTGGTGAAGACCTTCAAGAGTTCAGTTTTTTCTCCCAGAAAATTGGAAGGTAGAATTGTAAATTCATAAACCTTATTTTATAATGGTGTACCTCAGCAGCTGCCTTTCAATCTATGCCAAGTCCTCACTGAGTTTATACTTGAATAGTATATGTCTTCTGAGTTTTACAGTGTCTTAAACTCAATGCACATTTTTTTCTTCCTTTCCTACCCTTTCTTGTTTGTAGTTCATTAAAAACCTGTCCTATTACAGAGCTGGTTTCCTTCCTGGCTGTACTTGTTGGGGTGCTGGATTTTTTCCATGTCTCTAGTCTTCCATAAATCCAAATATATATATATATATAAATATATATACATATATATATGTTCTCTTTAGCTTGTGGTGAATACAGTAATTTGCATTGAAGAATAAAACATCTGTTGCCTTTTTTAAATAAGATTTCACAGCTTTCATTGGTGCCTACTGCTAAGTACCTACTATTCAGAGTAGGAATCACAGAAGAATTAAGAAGTAAAGGGCTACGGATGTAGTTTGGGGGTAGTGCACTTGCTCAAGGCCCTGTGTTCAATCCCCAGCACTACAAAAGAAAAAAAATCATCCAGCAAATCATCATTGGGCACCTAATATGTGATGGGCGCTCTCCCTATGTTGTATACAAGAAGTGTTTGGGGAGTGGTAATGGGAAAAGAAAAGTGTTTGTTTACTGTGATACATTGTTAGTGCCCTGAATGAAAAGCATATGGTCCTAAGAATAGGAAAAGAATATGGTTCTAGAGAAAATGAGGCAGATCGGCTGTAGGAGTTTGTCTGGGGTAGGGGAGGCTATGAGAAGAAACCTGAGGGAGAAGTAGGACATAGGACATATCCAGGCAGAAAAACTGAGGACAAGCTTTACAAGGACTGGATAGCTAGATGAACACAGCATTACAGGCAAAGGCCTTGACTAAGGGAAAAAGAGCTTTGGGATCTGACAAAAAGGCCCTGTCTCTGGTGAGGCAGGAAACAAGTGAGGAGAGTGGTATGCACCAGTGTTGGAGGTTTGTGAAAGCCATGTTAAGGATTTTGTAGTTTATCCTAATGCAGTAGAAAGCAAAGAAGTGAAGTCAGGGAAGTGCTTTGATAAATAATTTTAAAAGCTGACTCTACCTTCAATTAGAATGGATGGAAAGGTGGCTTAGGGTTATGGAAAAGCAGAAAATGGAAATAGTGAGGCCAGGAAGGAAACTGAAGTACTCCAACTGGGAGGCTAATGTGGTCTGTAAACTGTGAAGTGACAGAAAAATAGAATTAATTGATAGTCTATCAAAAGCCAAAAGAATGCAGGAGCCTGTCAGCTTTCTAGAAATCTATGCTTGAACTTTGGTCCTAAGATGGTCTACTTTTCAATTTAACTTCAAGACCATAAAACAAAAAGACTTCAGTATTAAGCTAATTAAACCATTCACGATGGAAGCAAAGTTGTAATCTTGAAACTGCCTCAAATGGAAAGACATTTACTCCACATAGAAGAGAAAAAGGTAGGGATTGGCAAATCATGCCAAAGAGTAAGCAATAGATCCATAGTCTGCACCAAATGTAACCATTTTAAAATTAAAAGGTAGGCTTTTACTTCCAACATATTGTTAACAAGGGGGAAAGCAAAATACTAAGTTACGGCATTTCCCCAGCAATTCATAGAGGGTTTAAGCCCAAAAAAAAAAAAAAAGTGAATTGCCACCTTTTTTAAATGATATAAAGCAGGAAAAACCCGTGGTACCATTTGCAGAGTGCCAGGAAACAATGATTCTATCACAGAAACAAAATTTGGACAGGCGAAAATGACTTTTGCATGGATTTCAACTGTCTTTATTGTGTACCCATGAAAACAACTGCCTAAGGTAAGCTTTTCCCAAGACTGCCCACTGTTCATCTTTTGCTATTAGTTCACTTAGAAATTTTTTTTTTTTTTTAACGTTCCTGGGGTTTGAACCCAGAGCTTCGCACTTCCTAGGCAGGCACTCTACTTACTACTTAAGCCACACCTCCAGTCCTTTTTGCTCTGGTTATTCTTGAGATAGGGTCTTACTTTTTGCCCACATATACTACCACACACAGCTTTTTTTCTCACAAACTTTTTATGCCTGAACTGGGAAAAAAAAAACATGATTCTAGGATTACACGTGTGAACAACCAGTACCCGACTCACTCAGAAATATTCTTAATTCTAACCCACAAAAGATTGAAAACAATTATCAATGGAAAAACATTTAATATGTTCACTCAATTTTAAATTTGAGTGGAAAAAGGCCACCATTCTATGTTCAGAAAAAACTCATGTTCTGATCTCTAACACTACGTTTAATGACTAAAGATCAAAGGCTGTATACCATGGTGGTTAATACAGTTTCCTTGGAGTGAACTGGAACCACATCCCAGTAGGCCTTGATTTCCCAATCTGTAAAGTGGAGGTAATATGCTCTTTACAGGGACTTTGGCTTTGGTTTTTTCCTCATTGCATTTCAAATATTTGAAAGGAAACTATTTGTAAATGTTTAGCACTGAGTCTGGCAGATTCTGAGTTAAGTGGGCACCTATTATCTTTATCTCTGTTTGTTCCTAGAGCCAGGGGTGATAAAATGGATTAAAAGATGGCCACAAATTCTTTGGTATTCTTCCAAACAAGAAATGAGTTTTAACTGTTGGGCTCCAGTGGCTCAAGCTTATAATCTTAACTACTCAGGAGGAAGAGATCAGGAGGATTGCAGTTCAAAGCCAGCCCAGGCACATAGTCCTTGATACCCTATCTGGAAAAACTCATCACAGAAAGGGCTGGTGGAGTGGCTTACAGTGTAGGCCTTGAGTTTAAACCCCAGTACTGAAAAAAAAAGTTTTAAAATAAAACAAGGAGGGGCACAAAAAAGGAATGTGGTTTGAAGCCCAGCATAGTTGTGTACATTTATAATCTCAGCACTCAAGAGATGAAGGCAGGAGAATCTTGGGTTTGGGGCCAACCTGTGAGATAGCAATACCCTGCCTCAAAGAAATCAGATTTATAGGGCTAGGGGTGTAGCTAAGTGGTAAAGCGCTTACCTAACAAGCATGAGGCTCTGGATCAATCCCCAGCAACACAAAGCAACAACAAAAAACACCTTTAATGAGGTTTATGTCCCTTTCCCTTAACTCTGGGTGGGCTCTATGTCTGCTTGATCATAAGGTAGATACGATACTGTGCCAATTCCCAACACCAAACTGGCAATTTCCACCTCCTGTGTGAAATACTTTTTTACCCAATTGCCATGATGTGAGAAAATGCCAGCATCCTCAGGAAGACCTACCTGGAGAGGAACTCGGAATCCCCAGTCCACCAACATCCTCAACTGAGTCCCTAGCCAGGAGCCAACACTGATTTGCCAGCCACATGAGTGGGCTCCTTGGAAGAAGCTCTTATAGCTCCACTGACACTAAGTGGAACAGAGACTAGTTGCTCCTGCCAAGATCTGCCCAAACTGTAGATTCTGGAGAAACTATTGTTTTAGGCTACTAGGTTTTTGAGTGGTTTTTAACAGCAATAAATAACCATAACAGGTGAAATTGGGTTTCATTTCTCCTCCACTCTGATCCCTTGATTTAGGAACAGCAGATTAAGTTCTTTAGTCCAGAAATAAGAGTGGTATGTAGAGAGAGAGGTAATGAAGACCTTTGTTGAGTTTTCTGTGAGCTGTCTGACCAGTATTTGACAGAACAAAACTGTGGTAATTCAGCAGACCTTTTTTAAAGGTCAGTCTTCCACCTGGGGTTAACAGAGTACTCTGAGGACTGGTCTCATCCAATACAACTGTGTCTTTGGAACCATCTTTTACTTCCAGAGCCTACAAATACTGATTTTATGGCTGTCCAAAGGCTTCTGCTATCTAATTCAGATTGGCCATCTGACCTTGGGTTCATATTTTAAGCTCCTCTGGTCAAATACTAGACATTTGGCCAAAAAGGTATCATGAAAGCAGAGACATAATGCTTAGTCTCCAGGAAATATTTTTTCAAAATTTGACAGTTACGAAGGGGATTTTTTTCTGGAGCAAAGTGATCCAGGTTCTGATTGCCTGGTTCAAAGTGGTTCTGTCAACTTTTGCATAATTAATCAAGAAGCCATTTACTACCTAATTAAGATGTGAAGAGTATGATGCAAATTACAAGACTTCCACTTCACGCAGTGGGGCCTTCTTTACATCTTTCCACGAGGGGTAAATAACTTTCTTACAAATCAGATTTCTGGGTTTGGCGCTCTTAAAACATATTTTCGGACTGGATGAGTGGCTCAAGCGGTAGAGAGACCTGCTTTGCAAGATCGAAGCCATGAGTTTAAACCCTGGTTTCACTAAAAACAAAATAAAACATGCTTTCAACTACTGAACTTGATCTTCACAAAAGCAACCTACAAGGTGCAATCATCCCCAGTTGCAAGTGAGGAAATTAAGTCTCCTGACTTCGATTCCTTCATCCATAAAATGAGGACGTAATGAGATTTGGTGTCTACAAAACCCGTGAAAATACCCCAGGTCCTTGGTATGCGTTTCCAGAAACCTGGCATCTCTCCACTGCATTGCCTTTCCCGGACTTCCTCTCTCCATTTTGCCCCGCCCCCGACAGCGGGTAACGCGCGTCTGTGATTGGCCATCAGGAGCCCACGGGGCGGGAAAGGCTGCGGTGGCCATGGTGACGGGAGGCGGGGCGCGAGGCGCGGCGGTCGGTAACCGACGTTCGGACGGGTGGCCAAGGCGGCGGCGGCGCGTCGAGCGGCCTAGTCTCGCGGGGAGGCCCGGTGGGCGCGGGGTCGCCGCCGGGGACTGAGGCCTGTGCTCGCGCGTAGGCGCTGACCCGGCGGGGCAGTGAGCGGGCCGCGGCCTGGGCGGCGGGGCCTCCTGCGGACCGCCGGCCGCCGTGCCCTCGATGGGAGCCGAGCGGTGGACGCGGTAGGAGGCGGCGGCGACCCGCTCGCCAGCACAGGTGCATGCGGCGCCGCAGCGATGGACGCCCTGGAGGAAGAGAGCTTTGCCCTGTCCTTGTGAGTGACGCCCCGGGGCCCGGTTCCTCGGGAGGTCGGGGCGCCGGGCGAGGCGGGGCGGGCGGGGCTCCGTTCCGGTTCTGCGGCGGCCGCTGCGCCGTCAGGTCCCGGCCCCGGGGGACTGGAGTGCGGGGCGGTGTCACCGCTTACCTGCGCCTCCATCACAATCCTCCCGCCTGACCCTCAGTGATGAGCGAGACGTGGCCGCGCGCAGGTCACAGGGCCCCGCACCGCAGCCACCCGGGCCCCACAGGGCCACGCCGACTAGCAGACAGGATGCGGTGAGTCGGGCCCGCGAGGTGGCCCAGCTGGCCCCAGCCGCCTCGGCCCCCCGTATTTGTCCTGTGGTTCCTTGTCATACTGGGTTCCATGGAAGGTAGTGCATTCAACTTGCAGGTCACGGGTGCGCCTAGCGGGTTTTCTTCTGTTTGAAATTGCTGTGTGGTTTCAGGGTTGTGTTACGTTTTCCTTAGCGGTTCTGGGGTTTGAACTCAGGGCCTCACGCTTGCCAGGCGGGTGCTCTTGCCACATTTGCTTTAGTTTTTTTTCTTCAGGTATGCTTTCGAGTTTTTGCCAGACTGGCCTCAGACCAAGATCCACCTACCTAGAACTCTGGTATAGCTGGGATTGAAGAAATACACAAACACACGCAGCATATTTGTTGAGTTGGGGGGGGTCTCAATTGGGGTGGCTGAGAACTACTATCTTCCTAATCTCTGCTTCCCCAGTAGTTGGGATTATAGGCATGAGGCACCATGCCGGGCACTTAGTTGAAGCTGAGCAAGGGGAAGTTCATTTTGCCACTTGTTGGGAAATGTACATAATGTTTTTTAAATAATTATCTAAATCAACTCCTAATCCTGGAATATTTTTCAGCTCCTCCGCCTCTGATGCAGAATTTGATGCTGTGGTTGGATGTTTAGAGGACATTATCATGGGTAAGCTTCTGTGTCACAACACGACCTGCACTCTCTCTAGTTCTTAGATCCTTGCTTGTAAGGACATTGAAATCAATTTTAAGGGTTCACTTTTGCCAGGGAGGAGAGAGGGAATGGAAGTATAACAACCGAGGTGAGCATGTTCAAAGTACATGCATGTATGGAATTATTACATACATGAATAATATGAAATCCCCTCATATTACTAATGTATGCTAATTCAAAAGAGTCAATTTAAAAAAAATCAAAGTACATGTAAATTTTGATATAGCACAATATAATATTAAATGAGCCACACTGAGATTTGTCTTAGAAGCAGACAGCCCAGCACTCCTTAAAACAGCTGTCACTATAGATGCAGGGATCTAGAGGGACATATTCAGGTAACGGAGCACATAGGGCACCAAAAGGTACTCTGCTCTTGGCAAAGCTTCAGGAATAATGACCTACTTTATTTGTCATTTGTTAAAGTAAGAGTAATTTTATTTTTAGATACTTTTGAGTTTTAACATTTTTCTGTCAGAAAACAGAACATAAAACCCATAATTGTTTGCACACTTGTTCATGAAGAAAACAAGCCTGTCAAACTTCAGCTTGATCTGTTTTCCTACGGGATTTCATTTTTTCTGTACTGGAGTTTGAACTCAGGGCCTTATATGCTCTTCCACTTGAGACGCTCTTCCAACCCAGAAAATCTTCTGTAAAATAGAAAGCCAGCCCTTTTTGTGATGTGGTTTTTCAATATAGGGTCTTGTGAACTATTTCCCCAGGCTGGCTTTGAACCACTATCCTTCTGATCTCTTCCCTGAGTAGCTAGGATTGCAGGCATGAGCCACTGGCACCTGGCCTGTTTTCCTGAGTTTTGAGTTCCCATTTCTAGATTCAGTTTGGCATTCATAAGTCCTGCTAAGACTCAGATAAGCAATAACAGGCCCCAAGTTTTAAAACAAATATGGAGGAAGGAAAAACTTACATTTGAGAAAATCTTGTCTATTGTCTTTTTGGTGGTACTGGGGTTTGAACTCAGAGCTTCATGATTGCTAGGAGGCGCTATACCACTTGAGCCACTCTAGCATTTTCAAGATGGGGGTCTCGAGAACAATTTGCCTGGGCTGGCTTTGAACTGTGATCCTCCTGATCTCTGCCTCTGGAGTAGCTTGGATTACAGGCATGAGCTACCAGTGCTCAGCTTGTCTATTTGCCTTTTAAATTTCCTGAAAATTAGGAAAAAGCACTATTTGGTGGTGTTGACTGTATAGCTTGATCCAACGTAGTATAAAAATCTCTGGTCGAGTTTTGAACCTTTAGTCCTAAGTATAAGTGTTTTACCATTCAGCTATCATGTGGACCTGTGGAAAAATGAGGCTTTCTTATAAGCCCAGGGTACTCACCTCAGAGTCTGGGTCCTTTTTTAGAAATCATATTCTATTCAGTTATTAAAATTCCTTAACATTGTTTGCTATGAACTAATCTCTTTATGTGAATTCTCATCTGAATTCCATCTAGCAATCCTATATGATAATGTCATCATTCATGTTAACAGATGATGTTACAAAAATTAATTGTCCAAGGTCACAAAGCTAGTATGTGACCAAGGTAGGATTTGAACCTGGGCCTCTGTCAGGCCCCACACTTTTTAACTACTATAGTGTTTTCATCACTGCTGCTAAAATTCAAACAGGATAGAGGAGGCTTCTTGCCATTTGAAGTCTCCCAGTTTGGGAACTGATGTTTTGTTTGCACAATAAACTTTTGTAAGGAGAGGAGAGAGCCATTCATTCCTTTGCAGACAAGCCTTCCCAGGTAGATGCAGTTGCATAGCAGTGTGAACATCTTGAAGCCACCAAACTGTCACTTAAAAATGGTTAAAGTGGCAAAATGGTGAACTTTATGTAGCTCTTAGCACAATTTTAAAAAGACTGGTCTACTTGAATGTCAGTGTCCCAATTAGCCCTACTCAAAGCAGCAGCTTCCCCCACCCCCCAGATTGGCTTGGAAAGCAGCTGTACTGCCTTCTCATCAACCAGATGGCCTCTGGTCTCCACTAAAAACAACATATTTCCTTTCGGGCTTCAGATGACGAGTTCCAGTTATTACAGAGAAATTTCATGGACAAGTACTACCAGGAGTTTGAAGACACAGAAGAGAACAAACTCACCTACACACCCATTTTCAATGAATATGTAAGTAGATTTCTGTTTCTCCTACCAGGAGATTAGAGTTTCTTTAAAAACTTGAGTTTAGAATCAAAAGATGTTTGAAACTTGCTCATCTTTTAAAACACACCAGCAATACGCTGCCAGGGATGCTGATTGCAGTCTGGTTAGTTCGTTTTCTCCTGCCAGCTCTTAGAGCTGTTTTCCAAAAGGCTTTCAGGCAATACTTGAGGAGCAGCTTCTCACTTACAACTTGGCTTTACCATAACCCTGCCTTTGCTTGCGATATGGTAGTTCACCGAACCTTGTACTTCCTTTTCGACTTTATTATTTTGCAGTGCTGGGGATGGAACCCAGGGCCTGGAGCATGCTAGGTAGGCAAGCTGTCTACCACTGAGCTGCATCCCCAGCCCTTGGTTTTCTTGAGACAGGGTCTTGCTACATACCCCAGGCTAGCCTGGAACATGCCGTCCTCCTGACTCAGCCTCCGGAGTGCTGGGATTTTTTTTTTTTTCCACACACTTTATTTCTTGTACATCATCCAGTCCAGTAAAATGAAAACTGAGAGCAAGGTCACTCACTAGAACCCAGGAGCCTCAACTCTCACCCTTGGGTCTTTCGACGGACCCGGAGGCCTCCTGGGATCCTGTCTAGCTGTGAGTAGGTTTGAGCCTCCAGGACTTTATTTTCTAAATACAAAAGCATGGCAGAACTTGGCTCAGCAGGAAAGGCACAGACCCCATCTCCTCAGGAGGAAGAACCCCCACTTTCTTCCTTCCTTACCTCCTGCACTAAAGGGGTTGGAGCATAGGCCATTCCCACCTGGGTTAGAGCAGTCATCTGGTACATCATGACTACCCACAAATGCCCCTGTGTGAACCAGGCAGGCCCAGGATAGGGGCTTGGGTTTTGTTCCCCTTTGGGCTCCTGGTACTCAGCATAGGATCTCAGGAGATGCCTGCCAAGTGGGGGCAGGCTTTCTGAAAAGAAGTCTTGTTTCCCTGAAGAGGGGTCCAACCAAGATCCTCTCCACTGTTGCAGATTTCTCTGGTAGAAAAGTATATTGAAGAACAGCTGCTGGAGCGGATCCCTGGATTCAACATGGCCGCTTTTACAACAACTTTGCAGTGAGTCAAGCTTAACTTCATCTCTTTCTCACCTTCCTCCCTCTCCACTTCCCCAGACTTCCAATGAGAATACTTGGTTGGGTCCTGGGTGGGTGACCCTCCACACCTTTCACAACATCTTGAAGAGACAGTCTGCCTCATTGTTCATGTATGAAGCCACCACCCTTTCCTTTGCAGGCACCATAAAGATGAAGTGGCTGGCGACATATTCGACATGCTGCTTACATTTACGGATTTCCTGGCTTTTAAAGAAATGTTTCTGGACTACAGAGCAGTAAGTTTTAACTGCGAGTTTATCTTAGAAAGTTCCAAGTAAACTACTGAACACAACCGCCTCCATTGCCAGCCACCCCATCATTCACTCCCCTTAAAAGTGCCCAGTAGTCTGGCAGCTAGCAAGAGATGAGTGGAGGAGCTGCTGCTTCATAGTGGCTGGGACATTTTCATGTTTTGGTAAAACACGCCCAGGTACCACCTTAGGGTCCCTAAGTAGACAGAAGGACTAAAAGCAAGAACAGGTCTCATTCTCTCACCTACGTTAGAACCCAGGCTTTTTTTGTTTTTTTCAGTACTAGGGATTGAACCCACAGTCTCATGTGTGCTACACAAGAGCTCTGCCCCTGAGCCACTCAGTCCTTCTTGTTTTTCATTTCTTATTCATATAGGGTCTCACCTGACCAACCTAGGACTAGGAGCCTTTTACCTCTGCCTCCCATGTAGCTAGAACCATAGGCATGTGCCACTCTGCCCAGCCTATAGTACAGGAGCTTTATAAGAAAAATGTTTTCCAGTGAAGAGAGGTTCATTTTTTTAAGAACGCCCAGGCCAGAATTGATTAGATGCAAAACACACTACTGTCTTCCTGTGGACTCCCTGGAGTCCACATTCCCACCCTGTCACCCTAAGCACCTCGCCAATGCAAGTGCAGGGACCTGAGCCAGGAAGGACTCTTTCTGTTACTTGCCTTTTAAGGTTGTTTCTTTTCTCATGTAGGAAAAGGAAGGCCGGGGACTGGACTTAAGCAGTGGCTTGGTGGTGACATCCTTATGCAAATCATCTTCTACACCAGCGTCCCAGAACAATCTGCGACACTAGGCCCCAGCCCCACACAACAGATGGGGTCATTCTGGATGTCACCACCCCAACAGGCTGAGAGATTTCATCTATGATGACAGAAGTGTGCATCTCAGAAAGGTCAGCTGTTCTGCAGCCCCTCATTCATGTTAAGTATTGATGGGTCACAGACAACATGACCTGACCCTCCTGGACCTGTTTCTCCTCAAATACCTTCTTGTATTCAGTCACCCTAGTGCTCCTCCCCCTTCCCCTGTAGACACCTCTCAGACGCTGTGAACCAGACTGCTGCAGAGCAAGCCCATGTCAGCTGTCCCACCTGCGGTCCCTTCCCCAGCCAATATGTTGCTGCATCAGCAGTGTGGAGGAGCCTACCATCACGAACCCTTTATCCCAGCAGGCTTTGCATGAATCTGTGCATACGCTCACAGCTCTTTCTTACCTGGGTCAGAGCATCAGTGGGGTTTGTGGGAGTATTTACCTAGGGGTTGCTCATGCCAGCTGTCCTAAGGTTCCTGAATCTCCTATGGTCGCAGTTTGTGTTGACCGTAGGCATCAACTGAGAGAGTCTTCTACCTAAAAGCTACATGTGAAAATTGACTCCTAGTCGTAAAATTGCAGTCCTTGTTACACTGTCTTCTGCAGGACCTGATGTAATCCCACTGTTTCTAGAAATCTCTTTTAAGCATTATTTTCAAAAAAATATTTTTATAGATAAAAACTCAGGCTAACCTAGTGGATATGATCTTGGAACTTCCATGATTACCCACATAAAGATCAAAGTATTATATGCTATGTGCTTTTTAGTTGTTAGAGCTATGAAGGCAAAAATGCTTTCTACATTGATGTATCTCTTTTGTTGGGCACCGGTAAGCATAGGCTGTGTGCTAGAAGTAAACTAGAAGCTATCCTGTTGTTACAGCATATAACATAGAGTGTGTGCACATTTGCTTCCGTATAAGCCAGTTTGTTGGGTTTCCTGTTGGGGTAGGTAGGGACCCTGCAGTTTCTTCCTATCAAAAATCTCTTCCACCAAGATGGTGCTCCACTGGTGTAGCTGAGTGTGAAGAGGGAGCAGAGGACAGCCTTGCTGGTCTCCTGTCAGCTTTGGTTTAGTACAGTGATTGACTATGACCAACCAGAAAACCCACAGAAAAACAAGTCAGTTCACACTGTGCACTTTCGACTTTACTTTTCTCAGTAAAGATAAGAGTTGTACTGACTTTAGTGGCTAGTCCAGTTTTAAAGGATGAGCTATAAGCTAAGCTATGTGTTTTTCTATAGTGATACCACTTAGTACTTTTGTAACATGAGTAAAATTTGAGGTGTTTTGCAAGAACCATCATTCTACTTGAGTAGTTCCTTTTTTATATACCCAGCACCATCTGGTTATCTAAACCAAAGACCCTCTCACATCCAGCTTTGTAAATGCCACCAATCCTGGCTCCTCGTCCTTCTGCTCCTTTTCTAAGTGAGACTGCCTATCATCGGCCCAGGGTGGAAACATGGGGTCAACCTGCCCGGTGGAAACAGACAAGCGATCAAATGCAGAGATGAAATACTGAGATCCACGAAGGAATGCAAATTGTTCTTTCATCCTTTCTACTCAGTTGTAGCTTAATGTTCCAAGTAGGTTTGCTGATCTTTTAAAATAAACTAGAAACTCCTCTCTTAAGACTACCCGGGGGTGTAAGTTGACCTGCCATTCTGGCCCAGCCTTGGAAAGTGGCTGTCTGTGCTACCACTGAGGACTTCTCACCCATGGGAAGCAGTGCTCACCTGAGCTGCAGCGGCTGTAATGTCAGCCTGAAGTGCGCCGTTTTAGGGTATCACACACCTGACAAGAAGGGTGGACTCTCTCCCTTACCTAGAATTTTGTTTTCTCTGAGTCTCAAAATGAGTCGCTTTTTCTAGCAAGCACAAGGCCCTGGGTTCAAACCTCAGTACTGCCACACACACACAAAAGAAAATGGGCTGCTCTTCCTTAAAACCAACCTTTCCTTACAGCTTAATCCTGGAATGACTAGAATTTATTCAAACTCTAATACTTGTGAATATATAATATTAACGGGTGCCGTTAATATTTACAAGCCGGGTGCCAGTGGTTCACATCTGTGATCCTAGCTACTCTGGAGGCTGAGATCAGGAGGATAGAAGTTCGAGGCCAGCCCAGGCAAGTAGTTTGTGAGACCCTCACGTCCAAAATAACCACAGCAAGATGGACTAGAGGTGTGGCACAAGCTGTAGAGTGCTTGCCTAGCAAATGTGAGGCCCTGAGTTCAAACCCCAGTACTTCCCAAAAAAAAAAAAAAAAATTTAGTACCTGACCTAGGTAGAGTGGCATCAAGTTGGTGGTGCTCATCTCATACCTGCCAGGGACAAAACAATCCCTTGTTTATCCCAGCGTGGCTTTTGGTCTATGCACATGCCTGGTTCATGCTTGGACACGTGTATTGCTATGTTTCGTTAATAAAGCAGAATCACAGGGGGAAGATGATTACAGGCACCAGGACAAGCAGAAGCTGGGATGGGGCCAGACTTGACTCCAGCCCTCTGTCACGGCTCATCCACAACTGAATAGTTACCAGGTTTTTTTGTTATTTAAAAAAACGGGGGGCAAAGAGTGCCTTTCGCTGGTTATTCAGAGGGTACTGCCCTGTGGTGGTGTTGGCAAAATCAGCTCAGGACTAGCTGCCTTCCTCCCTGCTGTCTACTACTCAGCTCTAGCATGGCAAGCACCTTGATCACAGCACTGCTAAGCTTCAGGAACTTGAGTCAGGTGACATTACTGACAGTCTAAATTCAGTAAGATCACCTGACTTGCCCAGTAAAGCAAAGGTGACTCAGTTGTTTTACCAGGACAGTTTTTTGGGGTGGAGCAGAGCTGGGGATTGAATCCAGGGCTTTGGGCATGCTAAGCATATGCTTTGCCACTGAGCAGCACAACCAGCCCGGGGGCACTTTCAGGGCAGTGCTATAAAACAGGCCAGCCTGGCACCGGTGGTTCACACCTATGTCCTAGCTACTCAGGAGGCAGAGATCAGGAGAACTGAGGTTCAGAACCAGCCCAGGCAAATAGTTCAAGAGACCCTATCTCAAAAAAACCCATAGAAAAGGGGCTGATGGAGTGGCTCAAGGTGTGGCCCTGAGTTCAAGCCCCAGTTCTCAAAAATAAAAAAAAACTTAGGCCAGGACTGTTCCAGATGGAGCAGGCAGGAAGTCTGGCCAGCCTTCCTCATAATAGAGCTGGCTGGTAGTGCTAAGTAGACTCCACAACTTCCTGCTCTAGGATAGGCATTTTAGAGACTGCATGGCCCTAACCTGCAGCTTCCTGGAGTTTAAAAGCATACGCCATGATTCCACATATTTCCCAAATAAGTTCATCTTTATTGCAATTGTAAAAAAACAAAGTCATTACCAACCATATGACAACACACCAGGCAAGGTCCTGCTTCCCTTGCTCCCTCCATCAGGTCCCTTGTGCTTAATCAGCAGCCTGGAGGAAGCAGTCTGCCTTGATATAAGCTTTTCCCAAGAGAGAATTACAAATGAAGGCTTGGGGGAGGGAGGGAACCTGAAGAGATCTGTCATCATTTGGCAGTCCTTTGAAACTGGTTTGCGTAAATAACCAGAGGTCTGCAATCGGAACTCTCTTCCTATGAACATCTCCCTACAAGTGACATGCTGGCTTTGGGGAGGGTCAGGTCAGGATGGTTTGCAGGCCATCCTGGAACAGACACTAAGATAAGTCCATGTTGCTTGTTAGACTGATCCTATGGCTGCAGGTTTGGAGTCTATTAGTGCATTTAGTGCTGGTGAGTGAGAAGGGTGGGCCCATCCGTGGACAATGAGGTCCTCTGATGACAAGGCTGAGAGTGAGAGCCCCACATCCCTCGTCACCTTCCGCTGAATAAGAGGGAGGAAGAGGAGGTCTCAGCCACAGGTTTTTGCCAGCCCACTGTGCCATCTTGGGCCTGCTTCCTCAGGAGTGCTGTCTCGAGAGCTGGTGTCCCGTGAACAGGGAGGAGCACAAACGCAGCCCTGCCTGGCTTGTGGGTGGCCTTGCACTGTGACCAAGCCGCAGCTTTTGGCCCTAGTGTGGGCCAAAGCACAAGTGGCTTAGGCATAGCCACCAGCCATTTGACTGGTGGCTGCGTTGCTGCCCACTCCTCGCCAGGCCTGGAAGCTGAAGAAAGCGCTCACACCATAGGCGATCATCACCAGACAGGCAAAGAACTGAAGGGAGAAGGGGCCCAGGCTGTCAGTCTGAGCAGAGCACCAAGATCCAGAGGTGGGTGGTGACACTATCCCCAGTGGGTCCCCTTAGATGGGCAAAACCTTGTTAACCAGAGCAAATTGTTCTGGCAGCCACAATCCTCATACTCATTCTACATGGGGGAAACAGTTAAAACCTCACAGGCATCGAGCACTTGGTGGCCCACGCCTATAATCCTAGCAACTCAGGAGGCAGAGACCAGGAAGATCATGGTTCAGAGTCAGCCCCAGGCAAATAGTTTGTGAGACACTATCTCAAAAATACCCAACATAAGAAAAATCAGGGCTGGCGGAGTGGCTCAAGTGGTGGAGAATCTGCTTAGTGTGAGGCCCCCAAGTTCAAATCCCAGTTCAGCCAAAAAAAAAAAAAAAAAAGACAAAATTAACCATGGAGTAGGAGCTACCACATAGTTATCCAGGGTTTAGTGTTCGGGAATGGGGTGGCTCAGTAGTAGAGCACTTGCCAAGCCTGCATGTACCACTAAAAATAACATTTAAAACACACACACTCAAAGCCACCCTAGGATTTTTTTTTGGGGGGGGGAGGGTGGAGGGACAGGTCTCACTATGCAGCCTATGCTGGCCTTAAACTCATGACCCTCCTGTGTCCGCCTCCCAAGTGCAGGGATTACAGATGTGTATCATCATGCCTGGCCTCAACCTAGGAATTTTCTGGAATCAGTTTACACCTCTACACCCACAACCTGTATGTGCATTGAAAAGCTTTGTGACTTAGTTCACTGATCTCAAAACCGTCTTCACCAGAGTGGGGAAGCCCAGGGGATGTCCCATCCTGAACATGACTGGGATTCCAGGCATGTCACTTAACCTCTGTGCTAGAGTCCTGGTCCTTGTCTGTAGAAAGCTACCAGCAAGTCCTTTCCTCTTCCTCACTAGGGCAAGGTGTGCAGAGCCTTGTGGAGCAGAGCAGAGCATGACAGGTGTGGAGATGACTGTGGGTACCTGACATGGGCCGGAGTCTGGGCTTCCTAGGGGAACCCCCAGATATGGTTTTGCATGAGTACTTGTCAAACGGGTAGGGCCCATAGTTGACATACTGTCCAAGGGGGCACATGGCCCTAAATCAGTGTGGCACAAGTGAGTGTCAACAGAGCTCCACAGCTAGCCCAGAATTTCCACTGGCTGCCACCAGCTATTCTTGTTCAGGTTCCTCTGGATTTGTTCACTAAGGAATCCTGAATGTGCCTGGCTTCCTTCCTGCTGAGACTCACCTAGAGTGCAGGTGGTAACTCAGGAGGTCCCTGCCTATGATCAAGGGAGCTTGTGAATTCAGATCTGGAGACCTAGACTTGGCTGTGTCTCCCCTGTAGACTGCTGGGGACCCCCAGGACATACTCACAGAGGCAGCTGCACGCTGGTTATACTGCCGGGAGCCCTTCAGGGACGTCACATCAACTGCCGCAGAGCATGTGATGAAGGCGGTGATGTAGAGAATGGTGGCAGCGACATTAAAGATCATTAACTGGTGGGAATGAGGAGAAAAGCTGTGAGACTCGCAGGGAGCATAAGAGCCTCTGCAGCTGAGTGGGAAACTGGGAAAGCCTGAAGTAAGCCAGCAGGGCAACACCAGCCCACCACGCAAAACCCTTTTCCCTCAGCCACAGGCCACTCCTCCACGTGTGGCTCCAGGCTCTCACTGTACCACCACAGAGCTTGACCCTGTGGCTGGTCCTACAGGTCGGGGCTCACATCCCTCTACTGGCGGGGGAGTAATCCATGGCTCCCTTGTGGCCACATCCTAGGCTCAAGACTCCAGGGCAAATGCTAGGGTCAGGGCCTCAGATGGCCTAGACACTCCAGGCAGGAAACTGAACATGAAGACCTCAGATCCACATCCCAAATGCTTGGCCCCGGGCAATTAAGTCTTCAAACTGGTGGCCCTCAACCATTTGGTTTTTTCCTATTTTTTTAAATTACAAACATTTAAAAATTAGATTTCACATGGAAACTTGAAAATTCTTATAGTAAAATTTCATATTAAAAATTCTGGGGTCTCCCCCTTTCTGTATTTGTACATAGTGATGCAGTGTTAGAGAAAAGTGTCATATTTCCAATCTGTGTTGGTGCTCATTTGAGAAAATAAAGTTTTTAAATATGAAAAAAAAATTATGGGGGCTGGATATGTGTCTCAGTGGCCCAGCACTTGCCCCGTATGCACAAGGCACCTGCATCCCTGGCTTCCCAAAGCTAGTGCTCAGAAGAGGCACCTCCCCTTAGATAGTGTGCTGGATTTTCTAGAATGTTCTGATCCACCTCAGTTACCTCTCTTACCTGGGCCCTGGAGGTGTCGGCAAGCCCCCATCCTAGAGAATCCACACAGGCCATCCCCCAGCCTTCTCCAGAGGCAGCTCAGCCCTCCCTGCACCATCTGGTACAGGTCCAGGAGCACAGAAACAGCGCCAGGCCACCAGGGCCTTGAAAAGTAACCTTCTTTCATGACGGTTGTGCCAGAGCCCAATAGGGCCCAGGGACAGGAGGCCTAGCTCAGCAGCATTCTTAAGAGACATGGGGCAGGAAGATGGAAGTCAGGCCAAGGCCTCCTCGCCCTCAGCAGCCACTGTTAACCCTGCCTGGCTCCTGCCAGTGATGTCAAGATCTAACAAACCCATTCTGTCTTGAGGATGACTCATGGTTCCTTGGTTTAAAAAGTCATTGAATTGCAAACAATGCTGCTACTCTCATAATCACGTGCCTCTGTGCTCACTGAAAGGCTTAGACCCCAGCTGCAAGGGGTTTCCTGATCAGAGAAAAACCCCAGCAGCTTTCTATGTCTGGCCAGGGTACCTCCTCCCTCCTGAGGGCAAACCTGGGGCACAGCCTCTCCCAGGTTGCAGGGCCTCCCCCGGAGGCAGGTTGAACACACATGCTAGGCCCCAGCCTCCTTTCACCACAGGGTTGGCTGCCTGCCTGTATGCCTCAGCCAGAGGCTGACAAACCCAGCAAACCAGGCTGATTCTGACCACTCTCGAAAAGAAACAGTATTTCCAAAATTCCAAATGGGTCTCTTGGCCAGGCACCAGTGACTCATGCCTGTAATCCAGCACCATTAACATTCCCAGCTACTCAGGAAGCAGGGATCAGGAGGATCAAAGTTTGAAGCCAACCCTGAGCGAACAGTTTGAGACCCAATCTCAAAAATACCCAACACAAAACATGGCTGGTGGAGTGGCTCAAGTGGTAGAGCACCTGCCTAGCAAGTGTGAGGCCCTGAGTTCAAACTTCTGTGGGAGTGGGGGGATGGGGGGAATCAAATGTGTCTTTTGTGAATCCATTCAACAAACCCAGAGCTTTCTCTGAAAGCTAAACACCTGAAACACCAATGCTCCCCCATATCCTGGCTCTGCAGGCCAGCTGGGGTCATTGAGCACCTCAGCCAACACACCCCGACCCCAACCACCACTTCTCATCAGAAGGTCCCAGGGGTCCTGTCACGGCCACCCACAATGCCCCTGCTCAGACTCACCACTAGTGGCCAAGGCACCATGTACAACTTCATGTGAAGCTGAAACAGATACAGGATGAAGAAGACGATTGTCACCAGCCAGAGGAAGACAGCAACGAACATCACCCAGCCATAGGCAGGGTACAGGTGGTATGGGGTGTCAGCAATCAGGGCCCACACCAGCAGCCCCAGCACCTGGGGGAACAAGACAGGGCCATAGTCTCCCTGAGTCCCCCAACTTAAGATGGAGGTCACAGACCAAGCCTTGGCCTTTTTATTTGACAAATACTGATTAGGCTCCCTCTGCACACTTCTGTGCTGGGCCGTTGCCTGGCCACTCTTCCCCTCTTCATCCCTCTATGCCGTGACATAGCATCGCTTGCCTGGGACAGTACTCCTTGCCTGTACTCCAAGGCACGTTCCCTATGCCTAAGTCTGGGTTCCAGAACCTTCTCTACATACATGCCCCAGGCACCCACTACCCAGTATAGTGTTTCCTTCCCCAGCTGCAGGCTCCCTGAGGGCAGGTCCATCCTTGTCTCCTAGCTGCACCCCAGTACCCAGTTCAGGACCTGGGCCTTGCTAGGGGCAAAAACCTGCTGAAAGGAAGATCGGTCACCAGCACATCACGGAGAGATGGCCAATCACGCAGTCCTGAGGCAGGATGACAATGGCCCATGTGTCCTCCTCCTGACTGGGCCCAGGACTCTGGGTGACCTCCTGCCTAATGCATCTCCACCCTCTCTCTGCCATCTCCTTAACTCCTAGTGGCCCCATCTACAGGTGTTACTATTCCGTGTCTTACAGGGGAAACTGGGCCTCAAAGAAGCCACATGACCTGTCCCCAAAGAGATTGGGCCTGAACATCCCAGAAATGTATGCTGTGGCTAAGAGTATGGACTCCAGCCAACTGCCTGGTTTAATCCTTGCTCCTCTTTCCTCCTGTGTGACCTTGGGCAAGCTCATAACTTTCTGTGTTCTCATTACCCCACTTGTGTTTTCTGGGTTTTTATTTATTTTTTGGTAGGACTGGGGTTTGAACTCAGGGCTCTGCTCTTGCAAAGAGGTGCTTTACTGCTTAGTGCGATGCCTCCAGTCCTTTTTGCCCCTGTTACTTTGGAGATGGGGGGGGGTCTCTCGCAAACTATTTTCCCAACTGGCCTTGCACCACAATCCTCCAAATCTCAGACTCGCATGTAGCTAGGACTACTGGCGTAAACTCTGGTGCCCAGCTAATCACCCCACTTGTAAAAGGAGTGCAGTTTACAAGCATAAACACATACCCACCTCATACAGCTACCGGAGGACTCACAACTTCAGGTTCAGATGTGAGAGCAATGGGAACATTTGCTTTTATTCATGAACAGGCTGAGTCCTGCAGAACTACGGGAGCCCAGGTCCTCTGGGCCACAGGGAATTTCATGTGGACAGCTTGCCCACTCATCTCGTGGGGCGGCCGAGGAGGACTTACAGGGTGTGGCCTAGCATCCTGGGCAGGGCCCAGGGAGTGGAGGTGGGGGACGGTGGCGCTGTAAGTAGTACTGCACACATGGCCAACCCAGGCCTTCCCAGTGGCTAAAAACACCTAGTTTGGGCTGCCCTCTCTTTTCCATGAGGGCATCGTATGGACTCCCTGAGGACCAGAGAGTCTGATGTGGGGGTCTGAAGAAAGCAAGGCTCTGTCGTTGATCAGGACACACAGAGGGGAGTCTATTCCCATATCCTGTGTGGGGAATAGGGAATGTCTCTCTCTCTTTTTTTTTTTCCCCACCGTCTCCCTACTTCATCCTGTTATATTAAAATAAATCCTTGCTAAAACTTCCACCTTGTTTAAAAAAAAAAAAAGAACAAAGAAAGAAAAACACACAGAAGCGCTGTGTACTTTTTCCTTGTACAGTAGACAGGCAGGTGACAGACCTCAACCCAAGGGTGAAAGGCCCCCCTCTGGTTGCTGATCTTTGGAGACAAGTCCCCAGGCTCCTGACCCTGTGTGTTCAGTGCTGTGACTTCAGTGAATGACAGTGCCTGGTACCCAGTGCATGCTCAATAAATACATGCTTAGGAACCAAGCATGTGTCCTTATCCAGGATATAGGGTCAGAAGCCTGCCCTGTATAGGTTAAAAAGATGTGGGTGTTAGCCGGGCACAGTGGCTCATGCCTGTAATCCTAGCTACTCAGGAGGCAGAGATCAGGAGGATTGCAGTTTGAAGCCACTTCTGGGGCGAATAGTTCCGTAAGACCCCATCTCGAAAAACCCTTCACAAAAATAGGGCTGGTGGAGTGGCTCAAGGTGAAGACCCTGAGTTCAAACCCAGTACCACCAAAAAAGAAATGTGTATGGAAACTGCTCCTGGCCCTGCCCTCAGCCACACAAGGAAGGGCCTTGGCCTAAGGTGAAAGACCTAGGAAGGTGCCCTTTTCTCCAGGGCTCTGCACCCCGTCTCCCAGGCTGGGGTGCACCCTAGCACCTAGTCCCACACAGCCATCTGTTCTTACCTACGACCTCTTATAAGCAGGTCAGCTGGTGGCCCTTGTGCCCAATTTCCAGTAAAGAAAGGGGTGGGGTGGAGCAACAGGACCCCTGGTCTGCCACCTTGGGGACAGAGCTCTCAATAGTGAGGACTCAGCATGATCCTGAACAAGCACCACCCACCTTTTATTACCACCCATCCCTAAGTCACCACGCTCAAGATGGACACATCGGGAAGGCTACAAACCCCCAGAGCTGCATGAGGCCACTGGGAAGAGCAAATACTTTTGAAGTAGCATCCTAGGCACCTTCTTCAGGTGAGCAGTGACCTACCAGGGACAAACAGCTCTCATTTAAAGTAGGCTCTTGTGGACTTAGAAACCATTGTTTTGACTGGTTCCAGGAAGTTAGAAATGCAGCAAACTGAAAAGCAAGACCAATGCACACTGATGCCACATCCAGCTGCTAATCCTGTGCTATTACTCATAGGCAGTCACAGCACCCATGTAGCAACCTCCTGCTCTGCCAGGCACGGGGCGGTGCCTCCCTGCCCTTTGTCATAACCCTCTCACAAGTCTGTGCCTTTTGTCCCCCATTTTCCAAACAGAAGCTTAGGAGCCATGCCTGTGGTCACCGTGGGTAAGAGGTAGGGCAGAACTGGAACCCAGATCTGTTTTTCCCTGGTATCTGACACTGCAGATTTATTGAGCGATGTGGGGTGATGTGTGAAATACAGGAAACTTAGTTGCCTCCAAGGGCAGGGTTGGGCACCCAGGCCTCCCTGTCCCTGCTCTGCCCTGCCCCTGGTTTTCAGATCAGCAAATGTAGCCTGCAGAGATGAAGTACAGATAAGTAGCAGGAATTCGTGTTCCTGCTGCTGTGCTGCCTGGCTCTGGGCCCAGGGAGCTGCCCCCTAAAACAGGGAAGGTCCTTTCTCCATCTGAACCTGACTGACTGGTTTTTCTTGGTCTCTGATACACCCCCCCCCCCACCACCACCCCAGTGAGACTCAGCTCAGGACTGCGTTCCCTCAAGTTTGCTGACCCCTTTGCTGGCCTGGATGGCTCCACTGGGGGACCAAGGCCCAGGCCTCAGTTCCAGAAGCTGCAGGGCCCCTTGTACCCCCATCCCTAGCCAGGACCCACAGAAACATCACCTGCTGTGGCCCCCACTCTAGCTGGAACAAGGGGTCAGAGGACCTGTCATATTATGAGGTTGGAGAATGACAGCAGGTAGCTAGGGGGCAGAGTGAGGCAGAGCAGCCCAACTCTGCCCCAGGGTCTCACCCCATGCACAGCCCAGATGCCCTTCCCCGTGTGCCTCTTCAGATCCCTCCATGCAGCACGCACTACCAAGTGGCCACCTGCACTCCAGGCAACCCCTCTTCAGATAAAATCCCTCAGCAAGGATGACTCACAGGGTAAGGGCTCTGGGAAGCACCAGGTGAGGAGGGGGACTAGAAAGAGGGGAAGCTGGTGCAATTTTAAATTAAGAGCCACTGCAAGAGCTCACTGGCAAAGTGATGTGAACAAAGACCAGGGGTGAGGGGAGGGGACAGAGGGAGTCCTGTGGGTCTGGGGAAGGTGAACTCTACCCCTGGGCCCTGTGAGTGGCCTTCACCTCCATGTCCATCTGTTCTAGAGTTTCTATAGGTAACTATGCCTACCTCTTCATGTTCCTCACACACACACATACACAACCAAATCTTCTCTCACCCACCTTCCAAACTCTCTGAGGGTGCTGCAGATACCCAGAACTGCCTGGAAATCTCAGGGGTACAAGACCTTGAAAGCCTGAAGAACTTGGATTAGGAGTCTTTCCTTCAAATGACAACTATAGCTGGGCACCAGTGGCTCACGCCTGTAATCCTAGCTACTCAGGAGGCAGAGATCAGGAGGATCACAGTTTGAAGTCAGCCTGGGCAAATAGTTCATAAGACTCTATCTTGAAAAAAACCCTTCACAAAAAAGGGCTAGTGGAGAGGCTCAAGGTGTAGGCCCTGAGTTCAAATCCCAGTTCCTCAAAAAAAAAGGGAGAACTGCAGTGTCATAAAAGGACCTCTTCCAGAGACATTTGCATCCCCAAAGAATTTCTCAGAAACTGGGCAAGGGGGAAATGTTTTTGTTTAAACCACCTGCATGACCATAGAAGACTGATTTGTCACCAGTGCCCGGCCAAGAAGCATTCCTCACTCCAGCGCAGCTTTCCTGCTCTCCCCAGATCGTGACACCTAGCCAGGTGAGCTTGGACACTGTGGGCCCTCCCTGTAACTCAGGGGCAGGTTTTCCTTGTGGTCTTTTTCTGTAGGTGGAATGGTGTCCCAGAGGTATGCTGAGTCTTAATCGTACCTATGTATGTGACCTCATTTGGAGCAGGGTCTTTGCAGGTGTCATCAAGTTAAGGGGGGCAACACTGGATCAGAGCCTTTAATGCAATGACTGTGTCCTTGGAAGGACAGGGGAATGTGGACACAGAACCACACAGAGAGGAAGCCAGGTGAGGAAATGGTAAATGAAGATGGTCAAGGTAGGTTAGATCACACCTAGCATAGGCTGAACATTCCACCAGTTCCAGTGGCTCCATCACTGAGGATAAAGAACTGGGTTCCAGCCACTCCGCTGCACCTGGTTTCCTGAGGCAGTGGCAGTGTGTATGGCTCGTGGGGTGTGTGGCTCAGAGATAATTAACATATCTAAGGGACTTGCAGTGCTAGCCCCACCCGCC